CCATGACGGGCTCATCCCAGGTTAAGGATGCCGGGCGATCTCCGCGAGTCTCCCCTTCGCTCAGCAGGGAGAGCCAACCCGGGTCCTTCCCGAGCATTCAGACGTGCAGAGAAACCCGCGGGTGGCCCAAGGCTTCTGCTCAAGCGGGAAAACATCCGCCGCCGTCCGGGTCGGAGCAAACCCACCAGGGCCAAAAAAAAAGGGACCCCTAGAGATCATCGCGGGGACCCCAGAAGAGGGGGGCCCGCCAGAGCCGCACAGACACGCGTGTCGGGCGGTTCCCACGTCCCCAGACCCCCTTTCCCCGGGGATGGGAAGGGGGGGAGGTTCCCACGACCCTCAAGACCTGCAGGTGGCCCGAAGGAGCAGCACTCTGCACATGCCCCGGAGCCAGGGCGCGCTGGGCCCAAGAGGGCTCCTCCTGCGGGAATTAACCCTCCCCGCCGTCCGTCCCCGCGGAGGGCACTCTGCACATGCCCAGGAGACTCACCACACATGGCGCCCTCGCTGCTGCCGCTGCTGCTGCTCTTCTCCTGCCAGGCGGCGGGTCTGCGGCTGCCGGGCGGAGGCGGCGCTGGGCGCATGCGCAACGCCCGCGCCGCTATTGGCTGGCGCGGCGGAGAGGCGGGCCCGTCGCGAAGTCCCCGCCCAATGCCTGGCTGGCCCTGGGGACGTGGCAGCCGGAGGTGAGAGAGAGAGAGAGAGAGCCTCCCTGGGCGGGCGCAGTCTACCTTTGGAGCGAGGAAACCGGAGCGCGCTGCTTCTTCCTGGTCGGGGGCTTCCCCGGCTTGATGCCACGGTGCAGCTTGGAAGAAGGGATGATCAGGGGGAGGAGGAGGAGGGGGGGGCTCGGGGATGGGAGACCACGGGGTAATCCCAGGGTGGAGGTTGGCGGGGGGGGGGGGGTAACCGGGAAAAAAGGCCCTCCGCCTCCCTCCTGCAACCCCCGGAGTCAAGTTGGGCTATAGAGGGGCGGGAGGGCTCGATTTTCTTTTCTTCTGTTATTTTAAGGAGGGGGGCGATGAAAGGGGGGCTGGGCTGCCCTCTGCGGGGTTTGGGCAGAAGCTCCCCGGCTCTCTCTGCCCGCGCATTCGGGAGCATCCCTGGGCCGTAATAAACCATGGTTTAGGAATGGTGGCTTCTTGTTGCGAGGCTGAATTGGGGCTGGGGGGTGGGGGTGGGAGTGCAATGGCTGCGTTTTTGCGGGGCCCCCCTGGCCCTCCCCTGGGTTGCCTTAAGCCAGTTGCCTGAGGTTGCACCATCGCATCCGGCTCACGCCCGGAATGGGCTTGATTGGCACCTGCAGATTAATCGCCATGCATCAAAAGGAAACTTTCTTGCACGCAGCTCTCACCTCCAATGTACGCTACAGAAACAGGACTAACTAGGTGGGTGGGTGGGTGGGTGGTAGGTAGGTAGGTAGGGATGGATGGATGGATGGATACATAGATGATTGACAGACGGATGATAGATGGATGATGGATGGATGGATGAATAGATAGACAGATAGATAGATAATAGATAGAGATATGGATGGATCGATGGATGGATACATAGATGATGGATGGATAGATATGGATGGATGGATGAATTGATAGATGGACAGACAGATAGATAAAAGAGAAATAGATATAGATGGATGGATAGGTAGGTAGGTGGGTAGATAGATAGATAGATGATAGATAAATGATAGAGATATAGATGGATTGATGGATGGATACATAGATGATGGATGAATGGATAGACAGACAGACAGGCAGATAGATAAAAGAGAAATAGATATAGATGGATGGATAGGTAGGTAGGTAGGTAGATAGACAGATGATAGATAGATGATAGATAGATAGATATAGAGATGGATCGATGGATGGATAGATACATAGATGATGGATGGATGGATAGATACGGATGGATGGATGGACGGACAAACAGATAGATAAAAGAGAAATAGATATAGATGGATGGATAGGTAGGTAGATAGATAGATGATAGATAGATAGATAGATAGATAGATAGATAGATAGATCAATGGATGGATGGATACATAGATGATGGATGGATAGACAGACAGACAGACAGACAGATAAAAGAGAAATAGATATAGATGGATGGATAGGTAGGTAGGTCGTTAGGTAGATAGATAGCAAAATTATGCATGTACCCAGATATATGACCTGACCCAGAGAAACAAGAGAGTCGACTTTGGATGTCTACATGTACATGGCGAGAAAAACGAACCTGGCGAATCTTTGAAATGTACTTTGCTCATTTGTTTCCGTCTGTCTTGCAAGGAGGACCTCGGAGGTCTGAACCCACCAACTGGTGGTGCAGCTATAAGCGGCTTTTATGTGTTTTATTTCAATGTTTTAAGCAGCCCCATTCCAATTTATCCATCTGTGTGTGTGTGTGTCAAAACTAGGAATCCTGTTTGGATAGGGTCCATCTCTTAAGACTGCAATTCTGTGCACCTTTTGCGAAACATCACACTGTGTATTGAATGTAGCCAGTGGTGAAATCCAAATTTTTTTACTAGCAGATCTGTGGGCGTGGCTTAATTGGCTTGGTGGGCATGGCAAGGGAAGGATATTGCAAAATCTCCATTGCTTCCCCACTGTGGGGCCAGCCAGAGGTGGTATTTGCCGGTTCTCCGAACTACTCAAAATTTCCGCTACCGGTTCTCCAGAACCTGCCAGAACCTGCTGGATTTCACCCCTGAATGTAGCCCCCTGCTCTCATGTACTATAGGAAGGAGACCTTCAATTTCTTCCTAGCTTCTATGGCTGAAGCTTTTGAGTCTTTGATGGACCCAGAAAATGTAAAATGAAGGCTGGCCCAGCTCTTCCAGTTTGTCCTCTCCAAGCACTTTCTGTCACAGGTGAAACATTTGGGGAAAGTTGTCCAGGATTCCTAGCATTTAAAAAGCAGGGGGGAATTCATACAGGTCATGCAATCCAGAGAATTAACCTGGAATTAAGGAGAAACCTCCTAACAGGGAGGACAATTAACCAGAGGAACAGCTTGCCACCAGAAATCATGGGAGCTCCATCATTGGAGGCTTTTAAGAAGAGACTGGATTGTCACTTATCTGAAATAGGATAGGTTGTCCTGTTTGAGCAGGGGGCTGGACTAGAAGACCTCCAAGGCCCCTTCCAGCTATTCCTATTTCTATTCCAATCCCCATCATAAAATACATGTAAGGCCAAGATCTCATCCCTTCCCATTTCTCAAGTCTTCTAAACTTCCCCAACGGCTGCCACCATGTTCATCCAACGTAACTTTCTCCTTTTTCCTTCTCTCCCCACCCACCGACTTCAAAAAAAGCCACAAGCACAACTAGTCCTGCCACTCCTTTAAAGCCTGATCCGGCATGGCATGTGCTGGGCAGTTGTCCTGAGGCGGATGGCAGCTGACGCAACCGGAACAATCCAAACAGAAGCGGACAGGAGAACAAACACTTTTTGGGGCCAGTGAAGTTCACCGCCCAGGAGGAAGGGTTTGCTTCGGTCCGAAAAAGGCAGGCAGCAGCTAGAAAGTGAGGACCAGGTGTTGAATGCAACAACTCTAACTTGCCCATAAATACACATTTTGGAATGGGAGTTAAGGGCTCCGGGAAAGGGACTGCCTGGGATTTATATCATTTCTGAATCAACTCTCAAGAGATCAGCTTCTTGGTTTCTGTGTGTTCCCTTTCTGGATCTGATATTGGCTAAACCTTGTAAGCTCCTCCACCACCCATCATTGCCCCTGAAACCTCCCTCAAATTGCAGATCCCACAAGCGGACCCTGCCCAAGTATGACGCCAGCCGAGCTTGGTAACGGAGGGCCCATTGCAGGAATGGCGAAGCTCAGAGCTGTCCCCCAAAGGTGCTTTTTTTCGAGAGGCAACTGGACTTTCTGGTTTTTCTTTGAAGACGTTTCGCTTCTCATCTGAAGAAGCTTCTTCAGCTCTGCCTTGGAAGAAAAAACACAGAAGTCCAGTTGCCTCTTGAAAAAGCACGTTTTCGAATAACCATGACCTGGATGACTGAGAAGCTCCAGACTCTTAGCTATGTCAAAGGTGACACAACGAAAGTTTTGGGTGACATGCTAACATTCAGCACCCAACAACTCTTCTGGAACGCACGGCCCATTCTTCTTTGATTTCCGGAGGACGCGGCCTCCACCTTCCAAAAATTACTCGTATTTCAGTCTTGTCATTATTTGACGTTTCTTTACATGAAGCATAGGTCATAGCTAGGTCTGGGTTTTTTAAAAAATAAAATGAATGTGTAAAGAATTGTCTCTCTTGTTCGGGGAGGGAGGGGCAGTAATATGCCAGCATAAATCAAATTAGCCATTTTCCAAGAGGGTTGCCAGTCAGTGGCCGATTTCCTTCAGATGGCCTCGGCCTGCTTCAGCGATCAACTCTCCAGAAAACGCTGTGGCAATCCATTCCACGCCTCTTGCGGGAACGCTGAATTATTCCAGTAATGCTTTGAGCATCATTTTTTTCCCCCCTGCCGTCACAAAGGCTTCATTTACTGATTGTATCACGTGGGATGCAACATCTCTGCTTTGGCAGAAGCAGAGATGTTGCAAAGGAGAGCTATTTTTTTTTCCAGAAAGCCTCCTGGAGAAGAGGTTCAAGGAGGTTAAAAAATTAAGCTGTGTCCCATCCCAGACAAGAAGCAAGGGATTCCCCCACCCACCCTCCACTCCCCGGGGCTTTGAATACAAGGGCACCTGTCACAGGCCATGAAGACACTGTGGCACCAGTGACACCATTTGTGTCATTACAGGTGGTTGACTTAGAACCAACCATCTAGCAACCTCTTGGCAGTACACCATCACTGAAAAGAGAGACTTGTGGGCAGTCTTCGCACTTACGACCAATTTTACCCACACAGATGGACACATCCGTTAACCCAACGACAGTCGTCTCTTTTAATTGGTAGATTGTACAGTACTCCCTCCTATGGGGCAAGTAAAGAATGGCACTAAAGGCAGCACAAGTTTAAACGTAAGTTTGAGCCACGGTGCGTCTTTATTCACAATGTGCAGGCAAAGTTCTAGAATGACCACATTCAGAATTACATACCAATTGCTTTAATTTAAACTGATTTTAAACCTTTGAAATCGGCCGTTTCAAACCCCCCTGGATCCTTACTGGAATGTCGCCTTGCAAGGGTCATGTCTCAGTTGCTATGCTTTGCAATGGAAGGAGCTGCTTCACCCCAAGTTTGAGCAATGTTGTTCTTCTATTTTCCAAAAACAGACGAAGCAGCACATAAAACCTCTGTAAGCCTCCGTGTAAGCTCCTCCTCTTTTCATGCATTCCTCTAAAATGTAAATGCACTTAGTGGACTTTATTGGACCCACGACACACTTCTATTATTTCCTTACAATCACAGCATCTACGAACACCTCACTGCAACCAAGCAGGACTTGCAAATGGATTGTTTGCTCCACAGATTCAAGACATTTTTTCTGGAGAAGTTCAACTTCACACACGAGATCATCATTCTGCATCCAAAGCGTGATAATACGTGTGTTCAGGCTCCAAGTGCAAAAAATCCTATTCCGGTGGTAAAAAGAATGTTTGGCTCCCTTGAGATCACCAAGGAGGACAGTGAAGTCTGCTGAATTTTGGAACAAAGTGTTATCAGATAGTTTCTAGGCAAATAAGGTAAATGACAGTGGTATTAGAGATATTTTATTGAACTCATGGGCGTTTTTTTAAAAAAATGAAAACTACAAATTTAAACCACCTGATGAGAGCGCAATTAAAAAAATATTTTTGGAATCTAAGTAGCAGGGGGGAAAAGTTTTTTTTTTTTTTAAATGCAGTGCTCTATGACCAAATCATGTCCAGAAGTGACTATAGTGTCAGTGAGAGAGAGCCTGCCCAATAAATAGGTAACTGATATTCAAGGAAGATAATTGGAGATACTTCAGAAAATATTTGAATCCAAGAGAGGAAGCATGTATTTTAGAAACTGTTGGGAACCTGCCTTTTCTGTGTGCTTTCCTCTTTTTGTTCATGTAAAGCAAAGATTCTTCCTATTTGCTTGTTTTCTTATACAGTGAAACAATAATAGAATTGGCCCAATGAAGAAACTGCATTGGGCCAATTTAGACAAACCCACCAGGCACATAGTTTCTGCCCACAGTCCAGGGCTCTTCCCTGATTCAGGTTGACTTCACTTCTTTTTCTTCATTATCATCAACAACCTGAAAAACAACAGGCAGGCAGGAAGTTACACCTAGACTATCAGACTATCAGCACTGAGAACCAAGCCCAGGAAGTAGGACATCTTTTAAAATAACCCCAGCATCACTCTCATCTTGTCTGGTAATGCAGGCGGCCTCCAAATTTGTTCAGAAAATGCTGAGATATTCTGAGCGGGTCAAACATCCAGAAGGAAACCCTAAATATGCCTGGCAGCAACCCCGATCCTTTTAAACAAGTAAGACGTCAATACCTACTGAAATTTTTTGCCCACGCTGTAATCATTGGGAACATGGAGAAGACAGGTGGGGCACAGCTGGTGCCTTCCCAAAGGGGCTTACCTGCTCCACACCTTCCACCTCTGGAATATAGAACTGCAGCATGTTTTGTATTCCGCTCTTTAAAGTGACGATGGAACTGGGGCAGCTGGTGCACGAACCCTGCAGCTTCAGCTGCACGATCCCGTCTTCAAAGCCCTTAAAGATGACGTCTCCCCCGTCCTCCTGGACGGTTGGCCTGAGGAATATTAAGGCAGATGCATTGAGACCCACAGCTGCAGGTCTGCGGTAGATGAAATAGCATTACGGGCAGCAAATGCTCAAATCTTTGCATTAACGTCCCAAAGTAAAGCTCAGATTCTCAGCCAACACATGGATCTCTCTCCTCTCTTTTTTTTTCCATACCCCTCTCTCTATTTTCCACGTGGCACTGCTGATTCCTGGAGCAGCCTGCAGCTCGTTACGCCACCTTCCCCTTCTCTTTGCATTAGCAACATTTTCCTTAACACATCTTGAGCCAAAGCCGGGGATACTCGGTTTTACGCCAGAGCAACCTCTCAGCCACGTGACCCTTATAAGAAAAAAATCTGGTGAAATACAGTCACGCAAACTTAACCAGCCTACAAAAATGTGCCATGTTTGCATTGTTTACTGCATTCTGTCAGTGCCAATTGGGAGGAGATGGCCTGGAGAGTTCGCAGTGGCTCAATTTATGTGCTCTCCTTCTGGTCCCACTCTTTTCTACTCTGGCTCTGGAACTGTCACTGCAACAGATGAAAAGGCTCCTACTCCTGACCCACATTAGAAATACCATATTTTTTGAACTATAAAACGCACCTTTTCCCCCCCAAAAAAGAGGGTGAAAATCTGGATGCGTCTTATACTCCGAATGTAGCCCTGCCCAGCTTCTAAAAGGGAGGTTTCAGAGGCTGAAAAAAGCATCAGAAACGAGGCTTCAGAAAAGAAGCCCCCAAACAGAGCTTCAGAGGCTTTTTTTCTGAAGCTCTGTTTCGGAGGCTTTCAGAGGCAGGAAAAAAAGTTTTTTTCTGAAACAGTTTCAAAAGTTTCAGAGGCAGAAAAAAAAGCAAAAAAAAGCAAGGCACAGAGCTCACAACCAAGGAGCCGTGTTCCCAGAGGTGTTGCTAAAATTCACCTCTGGGAACAGCTGATTAGAGGCCCATCCACCTGCCAATCAGCTTTTTTCTTATTTTCCTCCCTAAAAACTAAGGTGCGTCTTATACTCCGAAAAATACGGTATGTAAAATTCATGCACTGGCTTGAATTCTGTAACTAAGAAAGAGTAACTTTTAAGGCTTGTTTTGCCATTTCCCTTCATTACTTCAATACTGAAGAACTGAAGAAGCTTCTAGAATGAGAAATAAAATGTTTTCAAGAAAAAAAAGCCTTTTGGAAAAAGCACCTTTGCAACTTCAATCCAATACTTTTACAGCAACATAATCATCTTTCTTCTAATCAGCTTGGCTATTCAGCGACAGTAAAACTCCATCTTTGTTCAAACTTTTTTTTTCCCCCCCCTGAAAATTGAAATACGGCAGGGGCCGAATCCCAGAGGGCATACTTCAATGTGTGAAATGAAGGCAAAAATTGTTAACTCAGCTTTATACACAAGATCTTTTGATACCCATTTGCGTCTGCAATGGATTCATGGATTAACTTGGCAGACTTCCTATTTACCTCTACTTTTAATGCCCGCTAACACCCGAATGTATCACCTCAGCTGTCAGAAGTTGAAGAATGAACACACAGAGCTCAACATGATTAATACTCCTTCAAGAAATCAGCAATGAAAAGAGGGGGCTTTTCTCTGGCCCTTGAAAGTAGTAATGAACATCCTGTTTGCCCCACTAGCACGTTTTAAAATCCTGGAAATGCTCCAGAAGGAATATTGACAGAAGTACCAGAATGTGAATACTGTTTAAAGAATTCTCCCGGATGATGTTCGGGTTAACTTTTTTGCTGAACACAAGCAATTTAACTGAAATATTTGGGACTTTGAGTAATAAGGGTGAACATGTAAGGACAGCAACGTTTTTATTATTATATTTATAGCTCTCAAATACAATCGTTAACTCTGCAAAGCATACACTATTAAAGGTTTTTAAAAATGCACTACAAAGAGAAATGTCTGGGGAAAAAAAAATAATTTCACAAAACGAACAGCCCACTCTAGCCCAAGGCCTGGGGAAAAGCCAGATTTTAAACAAGGTCTTGAATGGGCCCATGTGAATCTCTGGGGGCTTCTTGTCTTAAGAGGTCTCTGGCCCACATGCAGGCATCAGAGATACACCAGACCAGGGATCTCCAAACTTGGCAACTTTTAAGACTTGTGAACTTCAACTCCCAGAATTCCCCAGGCAGCATAAATACTGCTTTATATACCAAGCACACGCAGCGGACAAGGGTACCTGATTCTGGTATCCAGCAGCTCTTTTATCATCAATACAACTTCATCGTCTTCTTCAGATGGGGCTGAAACAAATGAATCATGTTTATCTCACTGGGCAAAGAGGAATTAAAATACAGGTAATCCTCGCCTTACAACGACAATTGAGCCCAAAATTTCTGTTGCTAAGTGAGACAGTTTTGCGCCATGTTATAACCTCTCTTGTCACCGTTGTTAAGTGAATGACTGCTGCGATTAAGTCAGCAACATGGTTGTTAAGTGAATCTGGCAAAAGGGGATCCTATGAGACCCCGGGACACTGCGACCGTCATAAATATGAACCGGTTGCAAACGTGACACCTACATTACATCACGCTCAAATGACATCATTTCCATCACTTGGCATGACCTGAGACCCAGGTTAGAATCCTCTCTTAAATGTGAAATAACAGCAACTGGCAAATGACACAGTTTTTGACAAATTCTGTGTAATTTAAATAAGGATAATGCAAGTGACAGAATTGCAGTGAATGACATACTTTGGATTTAATGGGCATTCCTGAGTAACAAGCACCCCCTTCACCCAATGGCCCCTTAAATTAAGGTTTTATTGTTCTGTACCTGTGTCTGTACGAGGGACCTCTTCTGTAACAATGGGCAAGCCCGAAGCATAGAAGTCCATAATAGTTGCGTAGATATCAGGCTTTATTAAATTCCAGTCCACCTCCTCACTTTCCTGTGAAGATTTTAAAAAAATAACAGACCATAAATGTGGAGAAAGAATTTTACTGGACACACCATCCTCACATAAACTTCTGGGAGTCTTATTAGCAGGGCAAACTCTGCAGGAGCTTGTCTCTAGGCACACAGGGTTTCTGCAGTTGTCAAGTAGGATTTGGAAACGGGGCCTCCCTGTTTAATAGTGAAAAGGACACTGCTATTTTTCATCAGTTATGTCAGGAGCTGGTTTGGGCAAACCCCCAAAAAGGGAGGAGGTACGTATCACTCTTAGATCTCACCCGGTCTGATACATGTCAGACTAACATCAATCAATTCAACGGAAAGACGTGCAAACTAATCTTTTGAATGTTCAAACACCTGCAAATGGACCCAATAGGCAGTCCAATCTCAAATGATAAGAGGAGAGAGAAGAGAGACAGAGAGAGAAAACGTTTACCAAATGTTACACAATCGGTTTGCGTCTGCTTTCAATCCATGCCCAGCAGACCAACGCAGAAAAAAGTTAAGCCTTGGACGTTGGCAAACCTGCAGCAGGACAGAGCACCATAACTGGGTCTGTCTTTTGTTTTATATTTCAATTTTATGGGAAATATATTTTCATTTTACGGGAAATGCACTTCACAGGTGTTTTCCTACTGTTTTAATTTTTATAGAAATTGTTAAAAATTCCCAACACATTTCACTACTGAAAAGAACCCTCTTTTTTAATTGAAATGTGATACATAAATCAACAGTGCAGAATTCCAAATGCTATTCAACTGATGTAAGCCATCTCTGTGTTCTAATTCTGCAGCATATTGAGAAAAAAATATATACTGTAGCTAGTCATTTATACTATCAGGCTTGTGTGGGGTATTTTTAGATTTACCTTTGTGACAGTAATGAAGTCTGTTCCGAAAAATACACTTTTAACGCCTTCAATCCGAAAGAGCTGTCTAACCAGAAAAGAAAATGAAGACTTTGAAAAACAATGATCACCATTCAAACTGCTCATCGAAATCCTCCTATTTCTTCATATTGGTTCACACATGCACATTTGTGCTTCATGACTGCAGTTTCTAGAATGCTGTTATCCTAACTCCTAACTTCTTCAAATGTGTTAGCATCGTCTTTCCAAGAAACAAGGATGGAGTTTTAAAACACACCCCATCCAATCAACTCTTTCTGCTTTATAGTTAACCCAGAACCTGTGCTAGCAGCAATGACTTCTAAGCTAAAAGAAAACATTGTAAATAGGGACAGGTCTTATTGTGGGGGCCCTCAATCTTTGATAAGCAACTAGCATATCCTAAGTATGAACAGCCAAGCATGGCAACGGCGGGCTAATTTGGAAGACTGAAGCATAAACCTTCCACGTGCCTGGTAATTATGCAAATGGCCTTTGCATCCAGGACTGTGATAATTGTATACAGGGAGAAAATACATATTAAGACTGCAGCTGCATGGCATGGCATCCCCTCCCCCTCCTCCCTTTGGCTCAACCATACATCCCTTAGGTGGTTATTTTTTCCTCCGAGGAAAAAAGGCTGGGAGGAAAAACTCATTTGTAGGAGGATCCTCAGTCATATGGAAAAAGCCCAAGCATCTATATCAACTAAAAATCAAACCAAAAATTCGCCCATCCCCAGAGATTTCAAAGAGAATCAAGCTGCCCTTACTCCTCTCTGATATCAATGAGATTTATGTTAAATCACAATTGATTTCTTAAAAGTGAACTGAAAGCTGAGAGAGGAGAGTTCCCCCTTCTCTGATTTCCATCCCTTTACAAGAATAAATTTTGCATGGGCTAAAATATCCTCCAATTTTGGTGCCTCCAACAACTGCAGTCCAGGGTATCTTTGCCTCTAATCAGGGATCTGACTGGGACATATTCCCAAATAACATCACACTGTGTGAAACCCTTCCCCCTCCAAACCTTGCTAATGGAGAGCAGTAGGTGGAAGCAGGAGATGGGAATTCCATCGTTCTGGACTCCAGGACTGGTTTTCCTGGAATAAACTTTAAGCTGTTTGGATTTGGAGTGTCCTGTGTCTGAATAAATAGAGACCTCACTGAAATGAAGAAGAAGAAAAAAAATATTTTGAAACAGGGTCATTCACTGGGCCAGGATCAGAGTCAACTAGCTTCACTGAGTCTTTCTACTCTCTGCCCACTAAGAAGCAAACACCTTTGCCCATCATACAAAAATGAAATTCTTCTAACATAGTGAGAGATTAGGCATGTGGAACTGAAACATCATCTTTCAATGTTTTTATCATGAATACATTTTAGAGAAGAATAAGAATTTTCATCCCACAGAACTGAAAATGCACAAGCAAAACACCCACCTGACATCTGTGGCACTGCAGGAAACAGGAAAGACTTGTGTGGTGTAACAAAACGGTATTGTTGTTTAATTGATACATTCGTACTCCTTAATCCCAAATGACAAAAGCTGAATGGAGAAAAAAAAATACAGCTAAGAATGCCATAGTTTGATTCTTAAGAGTTTCATGGCATTTCCCATACTTCAACCCAAACAGGAGTGACTGAGGATTACTCATGAAAGGCTGAAATCTTACAGATTTAGAGCTTTTGACTCGAAGGAAGGAAGAATAAATATTTCAATAAATAACACCATTGAGAGGTGAGAAAATCTGGGGACCTATTAAAGAATTGATGGCTGGGAAAAAATAAAAATTCTAGCAATTTCTGCTCTCCTTTCTCCTTTCATATCTTTCTCTGCATGAAAACAGATGTTGAACAGGCTTCAGGTCGTAATTGTTTGCGTGTAAAGTTGCAAAAACAGGTGGAGAAATCTTTCGGAAGAAAATACGGCATTTTTGTGCTACCCCTATGATTACCCTCAGTTTAGCACTCCGTGTGGGAATCCAGTTTCCTGCTTTGCAAGAACAGCTAGGAGGGCAAAATGCCTCTCCAGTCACGTATAGACAAGTTGAGGCTGGGGGATTCTGGGAGCTGAAGTCCACACATTTTAAATTTATTGAGGTTGAGGCCATCTAGATTATCAGCAAGACTCTCTAGGAAAAGCAAAACGAAATATATATATCTAACAAAATGAAATAAGCACCTGGCATATTTTGGCGTGCCAGTTTTTGTATTCCTCCATTACAAAACTACAGAAGATTAGAGTTTTGGAATTTCTGTTCTGTTCTGTTCTGTTGTTTTATTTTGTTCTGTTCTATTCTATAGGACAGGTCTCTGTTCATGTGATTCCTTGCCCTTCCTGTTGTTTTTTTAAAGTGGGCCTTTTATTATTAATATTACCGTATTAATACAATCAACGGGAAACTAGCATGCTTCAAAGAAAAATGCTCCATCCTTCTTTCTGTCATTGCCTTAGAAGTCAGGCCTGGGCAACAAGCCAGACCCAAAGAGAAAAAGGTGGCTCAGAGCACAGCTGGCTGCACACGTCCTCCCTTCAACAGCAGCATAAATCAACCGTGTGGTTAAGACACTGCTCAGAGGTATGACATTTGCATCCGTGCATGTTTTGAAGTGCACTCTCCTTCAGAGCCAGACGGCTGCTCAGCCCCATTCAAAATCCTCACCCCCCACAGAAGCTGCGAGACCCTTGGAGAATGAGGAAGGGTGTAATGCCGGGGTCCCTAAACACCTGTGGCAGACCATTAAGAATGAAGTCTGTAATTCTGTCCTGCAAAGGACAAAAACAATGACAAACTAATTGCGGGTTTTTAAATCAATCTTTTAAGCAAAGGAGACCAGGCATGGGGATCTGGATGTGTGCAGCACAGCAACTTCCGTCATCGAGTGCAATTTTTTTTTTTTTTAAGACCTCCTGTGTGTGACTTTACTTATTAACCTGCATATAACACCTCTCCTGTGCGAGCTGCACTGGCTCCCGGTGGTCTTCCGAGTGCGCTTCAAGGTTTTGGTTATCACCTTTAAAGCGCTCCATGGCTTAGGACCTGGTTATTTACAGGACCGCCTGCTACCACCAATAGCCTCCCACCGACCAGTACACTCCCATAGAGAGGGGCTCCTCCGGGTGCCGTCGGCCAAACAATGTCGACTGGCGGCCCCCAGGGGGAGAGCCTTCTCTGTGGGGGCACTTACTATCTGGAACGAGCTCCCCCCGGAGATACGGAGGATCCCGGATCTGCGTACCTTCTGTCACGCACTCAAGACTTTCTTGTTTCATCAAGCTGGCCTGACCTAAGTCTTTCCCCTTTTTATATGGACATTTTAAATTTGGTTTTAAATTATTGGGGTTTTAAATTTGTTCAGCCAAATTATTTAATTCGTTTTAGTCTATTTTAAATTTTATATGTTTTATTCTATGGTTGTTCACCGCCCTGAGTCCTTCGGGAGTAGGGCGGTATACAAATTCAATAAAATAAAATAAATAAATAAATAAATATGCTTTCGCATGTTTTAAGATCGCTTGGTGCAGTTTTTAGCTGCTGCAAGCTGCCCAGATCCAGGCATTCAATGGGACCAAGGTCCAGTGTGCTCCAGTCCACATCAAGGCCTGAGAAGGTAAGGGCGACGGCGGAGGATGGGAGAAGCGGCCAGGACAGAGAGAGAGAGAGAGAGATACAGAGAGAGAGGGGGGCAGAGAGAGAGAGAGAGAGAGAGAGAGATACAGAGAGAGGGGGGACAGAGAGAGAGAGAGAGAGGTCAAAAGGATTTTGTGGTTCCTGGTGTTTTTTAACACCACCAGTTCTCTTTCTTCTTTTCTTTTCTTTCTTTTTCTTTTATTAGATTTATATACCGCCCTACTCCTGAAGGACTCAGGGCGGTGAACAGGCACAAAATAAAACACATAAATACAAACGTTAAAAGGTATAATTAAAACCAGATTAAATCATTTAGCCCGAGACAATTAAAAAATCCCAAAATTTAAAACAGATTAAAATTTCGATGTAAAAGAATTTTAAAACAGGGGAGAAAATTAGGCCAGGCCGGATTGCTCGAATAGGAGAATCTTAAGAGCGCGGCGGAAAGTGCGTAGATCCGGGATCCTCCGTATCTCCTTCCAGATAGTGGGTGCCCCCCTCTGCCCTAATGACCTGGTAGGCGTGGCTTGGTGGGTCATGTGACTGGTGGGAGTGAGTGACATCGAGTTGGCCACGCCCACCCAGGTTTTGTGGCTCCCAGGTGTTTTCTTTTCTGTGGGAAAAGGGTCCAAATGGCCCTTTTGAGCATTTAAGGTTGAAGACCCCCCTGGCCAAAGGTTGTCCTCCAAGAAGCCCCAGCCCCTTTTTGGGGGGGAGGGGTTTCCTCTTTTTCCGCCCCGCCCCCTTTCGGAGACCCTCCCCCAAAGGGATGATTGACAGCTTCAGAGAGCCTGTGGGGGGGGAGGGGAGGAAGAGTCGAATGGAGGCTTCTAGGGACCCCCCCCCCGCCTTACTTTCCCACCACCTGCTGTGGGACGGACTACAACACCCATAATAGCAAATCAAGGGGGGGCGCGAAAGAGGACAGAGGCCCATGTTTCCAAAAGGAGGCTGGGGATGATGGGGGCTGGAGTCCAAGGCTTTCTACGGGGCGAAGGAGGAGAACGGGGTGGGGGGGGGGGGAGAGAAATAAGGGGCGCTTTTAATACGGGGGTCTCCTCAGCCTGAGGCGACCCGACACCTACCGGCCCCCCAGCGCCGCCCCCAGACGACGCGCGGCCGCCATCTTGACGCCTCTCCCGAGAAGGACCCCCCGCGCATGCGCCTGATGAGCCCTCCGATCCCGCTCTTGTAGCCAGAGTGGCCTCTACCGGCCAGGAGGCGACATTGCAGGCTCTTCGATGCGCCCGGCGAGCGCGGGGGGGGGGGAGGGGCCGTGGGAAAGTGGGGGTCTCTCTCTCTCTTTCTCCTTCTCCAATTTCTCTTTCTCTCTCTCTCTCCCTCTCTCTCTTTCTCCAATTTCTCTCTTTCTCTTTCTCTCTCTCCTTTTCCAATTTCTCTTTCTCCCTCCCTCTCCCTCTTTCTCTCTCTCTCCAATTTCTTTCTCTCTCTCTCTTTCTCCTTCTCCAATTTCTTTCTTTCTCCCTCCCTCTCCCTCTCCCTCTCTTTATCTCTTTCTCCTTCTCTCCAATTTCTCTCTCTTTCTCTCTCTTTCTCCTTCAATTTCTCTCTCTCCCTCCCTCTCCCTCTCCCTAGCCCCCCCATCAGCAACTCCCTTTTCTATCCTTTTGCCAGGAGAGGCTACCCGGGTTCTAACCCTGCGGCTGGCTTTGCCCATCCCAAAGGTGCTTTTTCCAAGAGGCAAGTGGATTTTCTGCTTTTTCTTTTTGAAGGCGTTTCGCTTCTCATCCAAGGAGCTTCCTCAGCTCTGGCTGGATGGTGGGGAAGAGCTGAGGAAGCTTCTTGGATGAGAAGTGAAACGTCTTCAAAAAGAAAAAGCAGAAAATCCACTTGCCTCTTGGAAAAAAGGATCTTTGGGACAAACGCGACCTGGATGACGGAGAATCTACTTATGGGATCAATTATTTAACCCCCTCTCCCCCGTATCAGACAGTGACTCTGGGAGGCAAACCGAAACCCACAGAATTAAAAACTATTGCAATATCAATATACAGATTAATGATTAAAGATGGCAGTTTTTATTCTTCTATTTTTTAATTCGAGGCTTTCGTCTATTGCTCATCAGGGCGGAGATTGCAGTCCTGCCAGCCCTTAAACCAACGTTGCTCAAACTTGGCAATTTGAAGATATCTGGACTTCAGCTCCCAGAATTCCTCAGCTAGCATATGGGCTGGGGAATTCTGGGAGTTGAGGTCCACGAACTCTTTAACAGTTGCAGAGATTTGAGAATTGCTGCCTTAAAATGATGAGCAAATAAAATAAAATAAATAAAAGGAATAAAAAGAACTCAGCAAAATGAGGGAGAAGTGTCTCCAGGGTTTTTGCAGAGAGGGCAGCGTGTGTTGATGCCAGAGGACGTTGCAAAGGCCCCAAAAGGACTCCTCTCTCGACCCTTTGCAGATGTGCAGCATTTCCCATCGCATCAGTCAAGGAACCCGCACACTCCTGCTCCAATCTAAGAGTCGTACATATCCTGGGAACCCAACTCTCTGACATCCATGGGCTGGGGAACAGTGGCCCTTTTACAATGTAGGAACTTCAACTCCCAGAATTCCTGGACAGCCACTAGTCTGAGATGGAATAGGATCTGCAGATTGACCAGGAGGTTGAGCTAGAAGACCTCCGAGGTCCCTTCCAGCCCTAAGATTCTAAGATAAGGGGTCAAGCTGTTTCCCAAGGCACCTGAAGGCCAGACAAGGAATAATGGATGGAAACTGACCAAGGAGAGATTCAACCTAGAAATAAGGAGGAATTTTCTGACAGTGAGATCAACCCATGGAACAGAAGTTGTGGGAGCTTCATCCCTGGAGGCTTTCAAGAAGAGATTGGACTGCCGTCTGTCAGAAATGGTGTAGGATCTCCTGCTTGGGCGGGGGGGGTTGGACTAGATGACCTACAAGGTCCCTTCCAACCTTGATAATCTGTTATTCTATGACTTCTATGAATGGGTTGCTTCTTCACGGCAATCACTCGTTTTGTTTAGCTGGAGAGATATTTTCCTGACGGTACTATGACCAAATCCACTTTCTGCATCAAAGGGTGTCTTTGCAATACGTCCCTGCACTACTGGGCCAATTGCAGGGCTTGAAGTAAGAGTCTGACGGGGGATCCTACAAAGAACAAAGGAGGCAGCAGTCAGGCTCACAAAGCAAGGTGATACGGATAGGATCTTCTGATCATCAACTTGCCAACGTTACAAGGTCTAGTAATGTAGTCCTGGGCAGCAGGAAAATAAAGACAGACCGAACACTTGGTGTGAGGCTTTTGTCAACGTCTTCAACTTTTATTCCATTTGAACGCTTCAGAGAATACAAAATGCTTACATTACAAAAGGAAAGAGTTCCTGCCTATCGCGCACTCTGATTGTCATCCCAACATTTGCTGACCGTCATTGGTCCTCTGGAAGTCGGATCCTTTCAAAAGCCTCCATCGTTCCCCATCATCAAAATCCAACCCAAAAAACTCTTCTGGTTCCTATGAAAAGTTAGAAGGAAGGCCTTGCAAGCCAAATCTTCTCAGATTGGGTTCTCCTAGCGCAGGCTCTCCAAACTTGGCGACTTTTTTCGACTTGCGGACTGGCCGAGGAATTCTGGGAGTTGAAACTCCGCAAGTCGCCAAGTTTGGAGACCTTGTTTTAACGGGGGGCGCAAAAAGGGAGGGGCCGTGCCCCCGCCTTCCCTGCTTTGCCACATGGCTCAAGGCCAAGGTGGTTGGCCCCATAGGCCACCTCCTCTTAGAAGAACAGATGGGTAAGCAAAAATTTAAAAAAAGAGTTGTGGTGTGCAGGGAGGAGAAAGATGCCAATCCTGTTTTGCGGGTCAAGATCCTGCCCTTCCACCTATTCCCACAACACAGTTACTTCTCTGGTCTCCTTGATGCATTCCTCCAAAACAGGGGTCTCCAACCTTGGCCACTTTACGCCTGGCGGATTTCAACTCCCAGAATTCCCCAGCCAGCTGGCTGGGGAATTCTGGGAGTTGAAGTCCGCCAGGCGTAAAGTGGCCAAGGTTGGAGACCCCTGCACCAAAAGGAACGGTGGAGGCAATGTAGTGTGATACGTGTGCTTGTACATCTACTTCACTTGCATTCCCAAATCACCACAACCTTCAGCTGCTACTGTTCAAAAAACACAAAACAGGTTAAACGTGTTCACATGTTTAATATTGCACCTGACCAAAAAAAGCCGAACGCGCATCAGATTTTCACCACCTTCAGTTTGTGTGTCTCCATCAGGGATGACAGGACTTGCGAGGACGAGTCTTTCAAGAGTCCTATTGGAACAACTACATTTCAGGAACAGTTAGCAGAATATTCCCCAAATTTAGACGACCCCCTTGTTCATCGATATTATGCAGCAATGAATTCAAATCTCACAAAATAAACAGCAAAAGATAGTAGCCCATACATGCATACAAACAAACAAACACAAGCCCAAGTGATTACTATATCAATACAGGAGAAAGTATTGCATTTTTCAACATTGCATTATTTGGCTCATATTTTTATTCTCCTGGAATTGGAAGTATAGAGTTTGGGGTGGTTTTTTATTATTATTATTATTAAGTTAAGCCTACTCTTTCCATCACCATCAAGATTAAGACAGACAGGGGCAGAGATGAAGGGAATGCTTAAAAATGCCAAATAAATACAAGAAATCTGTTAAGGTCTACATGTGTTATGTTCTCACACACTGATATGAACAGAAAAATACCTGCACCCAAAGGACTAATTAGGTAAGGTGGAAAATTGCAGAGTTTTGGATTCTGTGTCCTACAGCAGCGTTTCTCAACTTTGGCAGCTTTAAATCAAAGTCACTGTGGGTGAGAACACTGAACTGCTACTCAAGTACCATCTGTCCCACGTGAACTTCTGTAGAACTTTTTAAACTATTACTACTGCTACAATAATAATATTAATATTAATAATACTAGCCCATTCAAAAGTTATTTTCTTCGGGGGAGCGATTTCTGCAATGATTCTCAAAGCACCCAACTAAAACTAGTAGCAACCGAGTTAACTGATTGTAACAGTGATGTAAACACCAGAATTCGATCTATTCGTCACCAAAGTAAAATGAAAACATTCCCATTGTCTTCAAGAACCATAGGAGGCGGCCAAATTTCTATAGATCCCTGATGAAACACAGGGACAACGGAAAATTCCAAACTGGACATTTGTCCACAATTAAACAGAGATCACAGGTGACTTCCTCAAATAAACCCCTTCCAGATGCATTGCATATTCAGGCTCCTAGTCTCCTACCCTGGCCGATACATCTGGAAAACACCAGGTTGGAAAAATTGTGATGTTCTGAGTCACCACACGGTGTTATCTTACATAGATGACCTCTTTGCAGTTCCTAATTTTTTCACAATAGATATTCTGGCCTAAAATAATACCTTTCAAGGTATGTCATGGGGAATGTTCCTCAGAGCTATGTGGCTTCTTAAGAGTGGGTCTTCCCAATGTGTTAGGAGCCCTCTCAAACCACGACAGATAACATTTAACTGAATTGAAGACGGCAAAGAAGCACGTTCAGTCTTCCGTTTCCAGAAGCAGAGGTGCAAAAGTCCGCATCCATGCTTTTGAGAATCACCTCTCCCTCTTCCAAAAAAGATAATCCAAATTTTTGAACCATCAAATTTCTTTCTGCAAGCTCTAACTGATACTAATAAGTTCTGCAGAAAAAAAAAACTGCATTTAAAAATAAAGCAAAACTACAACCAGAAAAAAAAAACAACACTCCAGCACCTGCTTAAGAGATGAGGTAGGTGCACAAGGAGGGAAGTCCTGGCCAAGAGATGTTGTGAGCCCCATTGGGGTGTTGGCTCAACCTACAGCCAACCTCCTGTATTTACAGTCCAGGAATGTGTCAGCAGGCAAGATGCTTTAATTCATCCCAAAATCATTTCCAGCATCCATTTCCTAGAAGGATGAACTATCACATCTTGTGGGAAAAGGCTTCTGCACACACTCAGGTGGGTCTCTTGAAACAGGATGCATGAAAAGACGCAGAGCCCAGCAGTCAAAATGAGGGTCCTGGGAAGACTGAATTAAAAACTGTCAAATTTAGGACAGGGGTCCCCAAACCCCCAGGGCCGCAGCCCCTTTGGAACCGGGCTGGGCAAGTAGCAGGCACGTAATTCACACACGCAGCTCCATTTGTGCCAATGGTGGGCACTCACACAAACGTGTGAAGCTCCATTTGTGTGAGCGACGGGCACGAAACACAAAAATGGAGTTGCAAGTGTGCACGCCTGTTGCTGGCACAGAACCGTTTCCTCTCTCCCCTGCCCCCCACCAGTCCACAAAGCCAGAAAGGTTGGGGGACCATTGCTTTAGGACAGGGGTCTCCAACCTTGGCAACTTTACGACTTGTGGACTTCAAGTCCCTGACTGAGAAACTCTGGGACTTGAAGTCCACATGTCGTAAAGTTGCCAAGGTTGGAGACCCCTGCTTTAGGAGGCATTTTGTTTTAGCATCTCAATTATCTTATACCCCTTCCACCAGTTTCTGCTCCCGTTCTTTTAATACTCGTGATGGAAAGAAGCATTTTATTCTCCTATGAAATCTGATCGTTTTCAAAAGTGCAAGTTCTCCCGCAGGTCAGAGAAGGAAGGTAGGGAATCCAGACCTCAACAGTCTTTTATAAAGTCTCAATGAAATTGGGGAGCGTTATTTTCCACAATTCAGGTCATGCCACTTCCCTACCCAATAAATGCAGCAACCACAGCACGGGAGAGTGGTAGAAAGTGCGTCCCCCACCTTCAAAAAGGAGCCATCAAGTGATTATACTCCCCGCTGAGAACAGGTTCAAATCTCAAGAAAAATACAAACGGGGTCTTTGATATGTTTTCAAGAGGTAAAAAATGTGAGTATCTTGCCTCGTCAGCTCAGCAAATATACGCAACAACGTTTTTTGTTTTTTTTTCCAGAAAAGGCACATGGCAGCAGTCTTCACAGCTGAAAAGTCAACCTGTGGCCAGCAACTGAATTTCCCCAGCACGAGTTCAGTTCGAGAATAGATCCCGTTCTCGGTTCTTCTGGATTGTCCTAGCAAGGATTTAAACGGTCGACCGAGTCCTTTTAGAGAACCAGATTTCCACTTTTAAACGCCGTCAGAGAAGAGGCATTTGCAGAAGGGGGAATCCATTGACTGTAGTGGAATCCCAGGACTGTAGATAGGATGGCAGCTGATTGAACGCCTGAAAAAAATCACTAGGGGTGAAGCATTTCCTTGGTCACCTGTGCAGTGCAAAACAAAAACAAGGATCGACTCTGAACATCCGAGAGACGTAACTGCACCCAAAGTCGCAAATTAGCTCACCTGCGTTTCGAACAGCTGCACCCTAGGTGGGCTGGAGATGATATGAAATTTGAAATCTAGCACAAGTGGAGGGAATATATTTGAGAGAAGCTAGTATAAAAGGGGACCCCTAGGTGCCCTCTTACTCGCATCTCCCCTGCCTTTCCACTAGGACAGAACACACTCATGGAAAGGTCTGAATTGCCACATTCAGTAGTGGAAAGTAGCACACTCAAACCAAGTGCACCAATTTTGGGGTTAGTCGTGAATGAACATAGGGATGAGGGACATCTGGTTTTCCTTTCCTCCCCCATCCACGGATGAGGGGCAGAGGAGAGGAGGAGGTGGAGAAAGTGGGACAAGGCTCATCTCATGGTTTACAAAGTCTCGGAAAAAGTGGACTGTTTTTCAAGGGTTCAAAAAAGGCTGCTTTTGCCTTCATTCCGCAGAGTTGGAAGCCGGGACTCCTGGGTGTAGCTACAGCACTTTTTTCAGATCCAGGGGGCTGCAAATTCAGTGGCAAAAGGGGGGGGAAACATGTGGCTCTAAAAGTAGAAAGCTAGAAAATTCAGCCCTGGAGAAAGTGGAGTTCGAAGGCAAGAGAATGGGAATTTTCCCTTAACAATTTTTTGGATGATCTCTCATAAGGGGGGCGGGAAAAAACCTGGTTTTGCAAAAAAATGGAGAGCAAATGATGGAAAGCTTTACAAAAGTTACAACAACTCCCCTTTAAAAAGCTGGCAAAAACTCTTTTAAACCACCAGGCGCTTTCCCAGGCTTATACAAAGAACAGAAAATAACAGAAACGGTTTATAGTCTACTCCATGGTCTGTTATACTGTCAGGTAAGACTATAGCCTAAATCCTAGCCAACGTTTGCCCAGATTGAACATGGCTTAGGATAGGAATTCAATTCGGACAAAAAGAACGGAAAATGCACATTGTAGAAGACGGCTTCGGTTTCAAATGGAGAATTACTCCAGAAACAGTAGCATCAAGTAGAGTCCTCTCAGCTTCTTTGTAGGACAAACAGAACAAAATAAATAATCTTCCATTTGGTTATCTTTTCCTGGTACAGACACATTTGACACGATGTTGAGATGCTCCACTAACCTTCGACCAAGGCAAAACGGGTCCTGCCTACTAGGTTGCCTGTGGGATTTCTGGCTTAAGGATAAACATTGACCCAAACAGTTTTAGACTGGAAAGTGCGTTGCTCAGCTGATAGTGGCTGCAGAAGAAACCCAAAGTCTCCATCGCTGGCTATGGGTGCTCTGAGGAGGAGGCTTCCTAGGAATCAGGAAAGTCCCACCACAGCAAGAGTGTTGAGCAGGATGGTTGAAGTAGAGAGAGTGTCCAGTTTCATGGAGTCTGTTTGCAAGTTCTTGAGAAGAAGACCCCTGTTGGGTCAGAAGCCACATACTGGAAAGGAAGCCACCGTAGAAACCATCTAGGGCTTCTGCTTCCCCAGTTTGGAAGGAAAGGGGGCAGATGCAAATGGGTCAGTCGAGGGCAGTTCTTTAGTCCTGGAAGAAACCGAGGCGATAGAAACCGACCCAGCTATCACCTGCTTGTTGGTCTGAGATACAACTTTGTAAGCCGCGATGGGTTGGCCACTGGCCCCTTGCCTGCCTTCGGGACTGTAGTGTCGGGAGTATTTCGCTAAGGACTGTGGGTGGAAAGGCGGGCTGTTCTTTGCTCCCAAGAAGCCTTCCTGGAGGCCCACCTGTCTCTGGAGTGTGTCATTGGCTAGGGGGCCAAGTTCTCCAGAGGCGCCTTTGGGAGGGTGGGCCTCTGGGCTGTCACTTGCTCTTGAGGGCTGAATCGATGAGGCTCCCGAATACTGACTTTGGGGAAGAAGGGAGCCATGGCTGCCCACCTCCAGGTTCTGGAATGTAGGGGCACGTGGGTACTGAGCAGCCCCAGCTGAGCCTAGGAATGGCCCAGTGGCAGGAGGTTCCTTAACCACATGGAGAGATGCCAACTCCTCCTGGCTTTTCTTCTTTGTGAACGGAGCTCTAAGGAACACGTCGCCTTCATCCAGCGGCTTAGGAAAGACTTGGCTTTTGGAGAGAAATGGCGCTTTCGTGAAAATGTCCAAGTCATCACAGTAGCTTTTAGAGCCTCGGAAAGGGGCCGTGGCAAACACGTCGGTGTCTCCTTCAGACCTTTCCGCAGCTCGTTGTGGAAAAGCCTCGAACAGAACCGGCCCTGGCACATTCTGGGCCGGTGGGAGGTTCAAATCCTTTGGGGAACCCCTTCCCCTTTCCTGAAGAGGGGGGTTCATTTTACAAGCCTCCTCTTCCTCTTCCGAGTCCATCAGCAGAGGCCTGGATCCACTGCAGTCCAGGATGTCTCCCTCGTGGTCGGTCCCTTCCCCTTCGCTGCTGTGGAAGGAGCTGTTGCTTGAGAGACCGTCCCTCACAAAGAAGTCGGCGTCTCCGCCGAGGTGACTCTGCTGTGGCTTATTCAGCAGCAAGGAACTGGTGGGGCCCGGCCTTCGCTCTTGCTCAGCGCTGACCATGAAATACGCAGCTGGCTTCCCTTGCCGTCCTACGAAGTGTAAAACAAGAGCGTTACTTGCTAATCTTAAGATAAGACAGCTAAAAGTAAACCACAGAGGTGTAATGACGTGGGATTTAAAATCAGCAGCACACATGTTGGGGAGGGGAGGGGAGGGAGATGGAGGGAGAAATACGTTTTAAAATAAAATAAAAAATCATACAAAAGTGAAACCAGGTAGTTACAATCAACGGACACAACTCGGCATTACTTGACATTTCAAGGTTCCACAAAATGTGGGTTAGAGAGAGATGGAAGGTGTTAATAAAACAGACACCCAAGACTCACTCAAGACTTGGGAGAATGAGGAGGAGGAGGAGGAGGAAGGGAAAATGGTTGTCCCAGACATCACTAACACAGGGCGAGCGGTGTTTTCAAGGAAGCCAAGGTTCTAGATCTCATGATTTGGGAAGCGGGAAAATGGGGAAATGAGGAGGTCCATTTCTTCTCAATTCGGGGTAAACTGAGAAGTGGGCTCAGGTGACGCCCACAGAGGCTGTGTTTCTGCTGTCTTCTCATAGGTTCCCTCGCTTTCCTGCCTATCTCCTGCATCAGACTTTGAGGGGAAATACTTGGGAAATTCAAGAGAAGGTTCGAAATAGAACCTGTGCTAACTTGCTTTAATCAAATCTTTGCTTCCTTTCGGTGGAAAATGCTTTCAATCTCATCAGGGTTAGAAATGAGAAAGCTTTAGCTACCATCTGCAAGCCACCTTCAGGAGAGGCCAAGTGGAATCCCTTCCGCTCCCAAGAGCTCTTGAAGGATCAAATCTACCCATTCAAAGCTGCTACTAATCTTGGTCTGTGGATGAACGGGGATCAACAACTTGCCTCTTTGGGCCTGCCAGCTTTCTCAAAGAGCAAAACAACATCTCTTCACTGAGGGGGACAGCAAGCCTATTGAGACCCTAGTTTGCTGGCCAGTCCCAGAAGGGCTGGCTCAGTCCAACCCAAAGCCCGCCGATCTGCCCATCCTTGTGCCATCCAACGAGGCTACCCAAACAAGCAGAAGGATTTGAACTTGCTACACACATGGGAGAGATCAGATGAATCACACACACAGTTATTAGAACACAAGAGAGCTTACCTTCCAAGAAAGAGGAGCAGGTTACAATGTTAGCGGGAGGGCAGGAAAAAGGCACGTAAAAACTAAAACTTCAGAGAGCCCAAGGCCAAGGCCTTCGCGTTGGCCACCATCCACAGAAATGGCGGGGCACAATGATGGGAACCGCTCAAATTCGGAAGGAGGGAGGGGAAAGTGTCTCTGCTAATTCGGAGAAGGCAGGGGATCACGGTTCACCAACGGGCATTGGCCAATTTCTGATGGACCAGCTGAGCTAATACCGGCGTTGGGGCCCTTCTGGAGATGGTAGGGATGGTCATCTGGTCCACAGAAGATCTGCAGGGCTCTTTAAGCAAAAACGAAGGCTCTGCGTCACTTCTAAAGCCTCCACTGCGAAGAGAGTGGCGTCTTTTATGAATTTAACAAAGGTCTGGAATACAGGATTTCTACTGTCCGAGCTTCAATAACACACTTCTTAGGCAAGGTCATCGGCTGTTAGGGTATTAAGCTGCTTCTCGTGATCAAAGATGGGACTCATCGGACAAGCATCGGCATTTTATTGACAGAGTATTAAAGCCTAAATTACACGATAAAATAAAAGCCATGCCAGATTAAGAGGAAGATGCTTAAAATTCTTGACTGTTGACTTGTAGTTCATCCCGTGTCTCCATTTTTAATTGGCTTATCGGCTACTGCAGATCCCGCCGAGAAAAATCAGAAATGAAAAACCAGCCAAGAATTTCTTCCTATTCGAGAGTCATTTGTAGTGGAACAGGCAATGTTATATCATAAGATAGCCTTTATTTTAACTTTCTGAGATGAATCCCTACTACTCCAAGCATTTTTTTAACATTTCTCTGAAAGAATCTTAAAATCAAATTTCAGCTGTTGGGAATTCTGTAAGCAGGAACTAAGGTCCTAGAATTAGCTTAAATATAGGATTTTTTTTCACCAGTTTTTAACCCACAAACACTCCTGGAATCAGGCTCTTGTGCTAACCAGAGTTCTTGGGGGTGTACACGAACATAGCCCTGAAAATCTCTACAGTAGGAAGGGCCAATATTTTTGTGCTCAAAGCCATTGTTATAATCAGGGGGGAGTTAAGGGCTAAACATGTGAGGGGACCGGTGCCATATCAATCAATAAGCAAGCCAGAATTTGGAATTTTCCTCCCAATTGTTGGAGAGCTTAAAGGGCTTTGTTCTTTCAACCAGGATAATTTTATTTGGGGGTTCACTCAAGAGAACAATCAACTCTGCCACTGATTTTTGGCAGCAATAATAGCTGGTGGAAGGGGAAGTCCTAGATTACACATTGCTCTATCACAGGGCTCTCCAATCTTGGCAACTTTAAGACTTGAGGACTTCAACTCCCAGAATTCCCCAGCCAGCTAGGGAATTCTGGGAATTGAAGTCCACAAGTCTTGAGGTTGCCAAGGTTGGACACTTCCGCTGTACAACAAGAGCATTGTAGAAGCCGATGCTTCCCCTCTTTCCTGTTTTCCTTAAGCCACGCAAATGTTTAAAAGTTGGATTTTGTTCTATTTTAGCCTGAGCATCATGGAAAACAACTTTCTCCACCACAATCTGGTCACACTGCTGAAATGAGACAATTGGTAGAATTTGTCGGAGTGACTCTCTTCTGGGGTTCTTTTTTAATATTACCTGAAGACAACCTGGTTGCAAATTCAAGCTGACCAATAAATTTTATCCATAGAGGCAGCCGCTTCCAAAATCCTCTCTTGAGCAGTCCAGAGGCTTCCTATTTTCTGTTGCCTTGACCAAGTCTTCTTGCCTGTGATTCTCCTCTGAGATTTCTCTTACGAGATGTCTGTTTCCAAGACATTTCCCTCCCACCCCTTTGGCAGAAGATCTGGGCCACTCTTCTCTTCATCCATAGTTGCATCTGGAGTTAGTTCCGGACAGTGGCCTTCGTGGCCTGATGTTTCCCAGCCATTCTGCTCTCAGCTTCCAGAAGCTTGGAGCGAGGCCTTTCTCAACTTTTCTGGAGGTCTTTCAAAGGTAGGAAAAAAAATAAACAATGAAACGCAACTCTCTGATTTCTCCGACTGACAGTACTCAATCGCGTTTAGATACCGGATAGGGTGGAAATCAAATTGAGATATTCTGGCAAATGTTTCCAGTGGATTGTTAGCTAGAATATCAGGAATTTTCTGCCTTAAGAGCCCAGGTTACATGGCTGGCCTCTGCGCCTTCACTTGGGAACATTGAGGCAACATTGCTACCCTGCTACCAACGACAAAATGTCTTAACAGCAGCGATACGAATCTAGAAGACACCTGGAACTTGGAAGTTGGACATGTTGATGTTTTCTGGAAATCTGGGGTGTGTGCGCAAGTGCCTGAGACGACTTCTAAACTCGATTCTGACTGTGATAAAAAAAAGTCTGAGCTGAGAAGGACTAAGCTGCTCCTGAGTTCTGAGCACCCCTCCTGCGATTCGATCCCAACTTCCAGCAATGCCCAAAGGAGTCCAGAAGACTTCCTTGCCGCCCCGAGTCTTCGGAGAAAGGTGGCATATAAATTGAATTGATTAAATTCAATTCAATTCCTCCTGTTCTTCTCCATCCTTCATGGCAACGTGAACTTCAGGACAAGGCAACGCCTCTACCCGCCCTAGGGAGCTGGCATTCAAAACTCTTTGGCATCTACAAGTAAGCCTGCCAAGTTTTTCAACCCAAAAGAGTTTAGCCATTAAGAAACAAATAAATAAAATGTGCCAGCTCCTCTTTCAGTGTGACATATGCCCCAAATGGGATCCGTCCCCGTGTGAAAGTTGCCTTAGAAGTTGGAATGCTGTAGGACTGAACCATAATGAATATAGGAACAGCAGAAGAGAATATTTGTAGCTCAAGGTTAAACTATGGAATCCTTGGTGGTCTCTGAGCTTGGGGGGGGGGGGTTTGCTTGCAGATGTTTCATGACCTAACTAGTAAACTGATGGCGTTACCTAGAGGAGTAATGAAACATCTGCAGGAAAACAGCCAAGCTCAGAGAACACCAAAGACTCCCATGATTAATATAGCATATCGTCTCTAGCTCCTTGGCTTTGAAAAAGGCATTTAAAAAAATGATCACACACATATGCACACGTGTGCTGATCTTGTGCTTAGCAACGCACAGATGTTAGAAATGCGTTCGTTCCATTTTTCCTCCATCCTCCTTAGTTACAACTCAATCCCAGCCCTGCAATTTTTATCTCTAATTAGAATAGAATGGGGTTAAGTCTGCAGGACAGCTCGGATGTTGTGATTGTAACTGAGGACTCTCTGTGTTTTAAGAGCCCTCTTTGCTCATCCCTGGTGCTCTGTGGATAAGGGAACCGGGTCCAATCCAGACAGCAGAACAGAGAACCGTTTCTTGTGGGACGCTCGGGCAATGTCCAGCACGCTGCAGAGGGTGGCTAAGTGATTGTCTACCTCTTCTTCATTCCTGAGATCTTTACAAAATGCTCATCTCCTGGGCTTGGCATCTACTCCTGCCAGAGTAGTAATCTTCAATTGTTGGCTGATCCAGAGAAGGTCCATTTGGCTCCACCTGAACAGGTTGCTGTGATTTATACAGCATCCGTTGATCATCGTGGATCAGTGATCCACTGTACACGAACTAGATGAGATCATTCTAGTACAGGAATCCTTGCCGTGAATCACCCCTGGAATTGGAGTCAGGACAAATCTTTAGCTTGGTCATGAATCTCAGTTGTCAGGAGGGGCAGAAAAATTAAGCCCATCCTAACTCATGCCATGGTAAAGTCCAGAATGGCCATTGGCCATTGAATGGGGAACATCCATTAACAAGGCCAAACGCTTCCCCGGGATGCATTATGAAGGAATTCCAGGGACTGTTATAATGAAATGCAAGCTCAGCTTTTAATAACCATTTAAATGTTTTCAAATAACATTTATTCTCTCTCTTCCTTTTGTTTCTCTGCTCAGGGACTATAAGCACATTTCTTTTGGGCAGGAAAGGGAGATCCCATCAGCTCCTGCACAACCAGGTTGTGTCCTTTTGCTCACATGAATACTACTTTCAGAAGGCATAGTAAGAGAGGATGACAAAACGTGGCCAAAGTTTTTCAGCCCATTTGGGACAAAGGGAACCACCTCTTGGTGCCTTAGATCTAGATACATCAATGGAAACATTAAGACCAGGGGTCTCCAACCTTGAGAACTTTAAGATTTGTGGACTTCAACTCCCACACTTCAACTGTGGGAGTTGAAGTCCACAAGTCTTGAAGTTCCCAAGGTTGGAGACCCCTGATTAAGACAGAACGAGACCACCACCGATGCTCAGCCCCTCTGAGCTGGATCTCCTCTCGAAAAAGAAAACCAACCTTTAGCAATGAGCCCACAATCCACCATTATCATGGTTTATTACTGAAGTATTTCCACGGTGACGAGTAAGCCTTCGTTCACAATATCATTTCACAGTTACCCAGCTAACTGGCCGAGTCGTTTCATGGGCGGGTAAGAAAAGACCCTCCCCCCATTCACATTGGTTAGTTCACAGCACTATCCTCATGCGACCAGAGGCTTCGGTAAAACGCCTTCCAAAACCCTTCAACAAGTTCATTAAACTTAAAATGTTAAAACATTCTTTTTTAAAAGTACTTTAATTCACAGGAGGATGGGGGTTTTTTTTTGGTTTCTAATATACAGCAGGTGGTTAATTTGTTTAAAAAAATCCATTCTTTTTTCCATATATTTTCAGTATCATCTGACTATACAATAACTTTCTATCTAAAGCTTTGCCCGTGTGATCCACACTCCAGTTACCTGCACTTCAGGAATCGAGAGTCAAGTCAAAGAATCAAAGAGGCTGCCCCAAAATGTAAAGAACTATTGACAATTTTCCATAGTTTTTTTGTCAGGGAAATCGGGAAAGTGCAGCAAAACGACCTATGGACACCCACACGTCACACAGAAGCAGTCACTGTTTTATAATGAAGTAGACTTGAGAGAGATTCAGGAGAGGATGGACATGACAGTGAAATTCTATTTACAGAATTCGTTGAGCTAACTTCGGGAAGGCGGAGATTTGTAAGGGGGTTCGTGGGAAAAGCTGGAGAAAAAAATACTCAGGGTTACACCAGAAGGTCTTTCAATCCTGAAGGAGAGGCCAAAACACCTAGAAATTGAGCCATTCGCACATTCACACGTGGGGGAAACTGCACTTTTTCAACCACTACAATACATTTGCACATACACAAAGTTAGCGATAAGCTAATGATTATTTCCAACTACGGAGTTAAGAGTCGTTCTCCTTTTCAGAAGAAAAACCTTGGAAGGGACCATTAATTTTGGACTTGAAGATCGGAAGCCAATGAAAACAAGTTTACTATAGCCAGCAGTTTGATGAAACTGAGCATATCGACATGAAAAGAAAAGATAAAACTGTTCAGATACACCTAAGCCGGAAAGCACTTACTGCAAACTGATTGGCAGGAGTTCATGCTAGTTCTATAAAGACAGAAGGCTCTAACTTAAAAAAGTACAGTCTGTCTATCAGGAAGGGGTGGGGGGGGAAGATGGCTTCATATTTACCGTGTTAATATACGCTATGCAACTACAGAGAGGGATTGCAAAAACCGAGAAAGGAAAAACAGAACAAAACATCAGTCTTACCTTCAAGGAAATCTGACATGTGCATACAATTTATACAATCCCTCAAAGAGATCCGCAACCCTCTTCGCCATGGCTTTCTCCCACCCCCACCCCTCCTAAGGGTTGTCCGTCCAACAGAAAAGATCTTAGCCATGCTGTTTGATATACAGTAGTATATGGTTCACATTAACCATTTTGCGTAGAATAATTTCCGCAGCTTTAGTATCTTTATTGATTGATTGGTTTATTTTAAGCACAAGTCCATTCCTAAGCAGGTTGCAAAAAGAAACAGGAGTATATATGGAGCAAACTGTCTTCTGTCAGGGCTTAAAATGTCTTTATATCTAAGCATCAGGCCTCGAACTCAGTTTTGCCTTTGGAAGGCACTCGGTCCAGGCCCCAATCCGTCCTAGGATAGGATTCCCTAACACGCTCCCCTGAACTGGAGAAGGACAAGTCTACTTGGCTGCCCTTTAGCCTCCCAGGTCTCGTTGGTTTTTAAATCAAGGAAAAAACAAAATTGACAAGACAATCTTAGTTAGCATTATTTAGGCAGGTTAGTCGTATGTATTTCTAGCAAGGATCATACACAGATTACATGTTTGTATGTTTGTTTGTTTCTTTACAATTATAGTTTTGGTGGCACTAACGGATAAATCGTAGCCAGGTGATTAATACAGGGTAGCGCTCCCTTAAAGGTAGGAGAGAATTGCACGAGAAACTTTTGCAGGCTGCATCAAGACTGTGCTGGAAACAAGGAGAGATAAAATCCCAGCAGAGAGTACGATTTCAGAGCAGGGTCCTTTCTTTGCCCATTGGGCGTTATTTTCAAACAAAACAAAAGCAAGAAGAAGGAAAAAAAAAACAAAACCATCCAACAACTAAAGATTAGCTCTGTTAGGAGGAGAAGAAGAAGAAGGGGGAAAAAATAAAAAAATAAAAAGGAACGAAAGGAGTTTAGGTACGTTACAGAAGCCGCCTGTTACTGAGCGACCGCTACAGATCTATCAGCTGATCCACTAGCAGGAGAGACCTGGCTAGGTTGGGAAGAGTGGGTTCAGAGCTTCCACTGCTGTTTCTAGAATGCCCACCTGAAAGTGTGAGAGACAGCAATTTAGTATCCGGCAAAAGACACAGGGGTAAAAAAAAGTTAGCTTTTAGTTTAAAAAAAAAATTAAAGAGAAAGACGTCCAAACACACACACACACACAAAAAGAAAGAGTCAGATAAAACGGAAAGGACCTCAGTCCAGGACAGGAGGTCAAACTCAATTTCATTGAGTTTGCAATGAAATCAGGGCTGTGTTTGACGTGGGGGGAGGCATGGCCAGGGGAAGCATGGCCAGCTTGATATCACTCGTGTTAGGGGGCACCTATGTTGACCTGAGAGCTCTGCCAGCGAAAATGGTCTCCCGATCTCCATTTTCCGCTGGGATGGCCTCCTGCAACCCTCTGCCACCGAAAACGGAGCTCGGGAGGGCCACTTCATTTTCCCTGGCAGAGGCACCCCGCCGGCCAGATCTAAGCACCCCGCAGGCCGGATATAGCCAGCGGGCCTTGAGTTTGACACCTTGGTCTAGGAGGTATCTACCCAAGCTTTGGTGCCGTTACAATTGCTGCCTGGAGGGAGAACTTTTGCAGGGGTTCTCCGACATTGAGACCAAAGAGGGATTTCCAAACATCAAGCCATCAGTCAAAGCAACCTGAAGCAACAGAACTCAACGTCAGAAATAAGAGGAGGAACCGGAGGCTGTATCTGCACCTTCTCCCTCCCTTCAGCAATTTAACTGGTTCTTCTGGCTCAGTCATCACCCCGGGCGTTAATTAAGCAGGGTGGGATGGACCTTGGCTTTACCCAAAGGACCTTACCCCAAGTCACTTGATGGCTTGGACTTGTTCCTCTCGGAGGAAAGAACAGAACCAGAATTGAGAATTTGAGTGAGGATGATGGGAAATCCAATGGGTCACAGTCTCCTCACTCTTGCCTTTCATGACCAAAGATCCTACACAGTGAATCCCTCTAAGAAGACTCGTTCAGTGGTTCAACTTGAAGCACCTAGGAAGGGAATTCACACTCTGGGCCTCCCCCAAAACTAAGCATCCAGGATTATGATCGGCAGAGAATTAGCACAAAGGTCTAATGGAGGCTACATCTTTTGACTGTCAACCACTTGGTGGCAACAGTGCTTTTGAGAATGAAAGAAGAACCCCACAAGTTATTTCAAGTAGTAACAGGTAGGGTCCTGGAAACATTAATCGCCTTGCAAGCAGGGCTGCATCAGAAGGAAGGACAGCTGGATTTTTAAAAAAGCTTTAAACTAGAATTTCCCTATGTCTTAGAAGCCCAACAGAAGACTTGGGAATGGTCAACTCTATCTTTGCCCCGTAAACAGGTTTAAGATCTGGAAACAACCTAGTACTACCAAACACTCTAAAGAACTTGAAACCAAGAAACACAACTTAAGAATTCTGGATGGGCAGGAACACTGCATGCAAACACACTACCACAATGCATCTCCCTTGACATCTACCTGCTTACCTTGTGAATTTTTGGATATTAACACAGGGATGGGGTCAAACTCATCTTCTGTCACTTTTTCAGAGCCCCCAGGGACATCAAAGCCTGATATCAGGTTAGTATCTTCTGCAGCATGATGGAGGGGGAGGGGAGGAGGGTGGAATTTAAAAAAGGACGAAAAAGAGCAGAGAAAAGCTGGTTAGAAACCACCAAAACAACATTTGCCGTATGTGTTTTGCTGCAAAAGGGGGGTGGGGTGGGGAGAGAGAGGGAGGGAGGGAGGGAGGCAGAATTGCAAACTGTTAAAGCAAACCAGGTATTTGGAAAATTAGGGAAAGGACAGAAGTAGATGGATATGAAAATTATATGGGAAGGGAAGCAGGAGTGGAAGTAGCTGGTCTAAGAGGAAATAGCCAAGTTGCACCAGGAACGTTTCACAGGGAGCCGAGTTGAGAAAAGTGCCAAGACGAAAAGGCTTGGATTCTCATTCGAATTCCAGTTGTACATTCTTTGAACACCTGATCTCACTCTGCTCCTCAAATGCATGTGAGGGTTTATAACCCAGGAGTTCCCCCACCACAGGTGCTCCTTGCGAAGAGCAGCTGACTGGGTGCCCCTTCCAAGATGCCACAACTGCTTCCGCCTCCCTGCCAGCTCTCGATACCCTTGGAAGAGCACTGCTGAGCTACCCATTTGCAAGCCTTCATATCTGCCTTCGAGCATCACTTGATCTGAGACCCATCCTTAGGCCTAAAGCAGTGTTTCTCAACCTTGGAAGCTTGAAGATGGGTGGACTTCAACTCCCAGATTCTGGGAGTTGAAGTCCACCCATCTTCAAGGCAGGAAAAAAGAATTCTGTTCTGTTCTGTTCTGTTTTGTTCTGTTCTGTTCTGTTCTATGCCAGTGCCAGGATTTCTGCAAGACTAACAGGCTCACTCAAGAATCAACCATTTCTCTCTAAGAATCCTTGGTGGATACCAGGATGTCTGGATGATGTTTGTCCTTAAAAGAGAGTCAAATATTAGAGAGCAGGTCAGCAACCATTTTCCTTCATAACGTGGGTCAAACCTTCTTTCTTTGGACTCTGGGAGCTCCATCTGAAGATCAGCTACACTCTCTGTCTGGTCCCTGAGATCTGTGGTCCTGCCACCAATATTTCTAACCCAGAGATTTTGAATTTATGCTTTTCCTCTGCTGTGTCTCTGGTCTTCGTGGCCTTGGCTTGTGGGCTGCTTCCCCACCAGAGAAGCTCCAAGTGATGCTCTCAAATGGCACAAAGTATGGATGATGTAGAGAGAAAGTATGATTTTAAAAAAAACCAAAAAAAACCCCTCAAATTTCTCCAAGAGACCAAATATCTATTTCCAAGTTTTGGCTGATAAATTTTGTTTTACAATCATGAAAATTTTGGTCAGAATGGATGTCCCAGAAATCGTTAAAATCCCCTTTCAGTGCAGGAAAATTAAAATTCACTTTGAAATGGAAACCGTTTGTAACTCTGGATTTTCTACATCAGCCCTATGCGACCACACCTACTTTTCCAAGGCAGGAAAAAAGAGTTCTGCATTTTGGATAGAAAGGACAGTTTGAAGGACACCAGCTTGGATGCTCCTTTCAAGCAACCACAGAAGGTTTCAGGAAGTATCCAAGGTAGAAAAGCAGCAATTTTTGAATCAATGACTCTCTGTTCTCCTAGCACAGTCGTTGCCCATCCATCCGGTTTAGCAAAAAGCAGCTTCGTACAGCAGAACTGTTAAAATACATTTCCATATTCTGATGGACAGAGGACCTTTGAGCAGAAATCCTTGACCGAGGAATATTTTTACATGCACAGGCCTGCCTTCCACCAGGATCTATTCAGACCTTCTTCCTTGGGGTTTTTGTTTCGCCTCTTCGTCTCTTCATACCAAATGAAACCCTAAAAAGGGAGCTTTACCTTTGTGAGTTTGGGATGAAACAGCTAAAGGAGCGAACTCATCCAGGAAGTCAGTGCCAGGATTAGAAAGCAGAGAGCAATCAAGCAAGGAGTCTTCCACAGTGATTGAATCTGGAACCAGGAGAAGAAGCAGAGTAGCAGATCACAGCATAGAGAATAGCAAGGAAGGAGATGGCTGCTCCCTTGGCTAGGGTCTAGTTTCTAACCCAGGGTCCACTCTACATAGCTATCCTTTTTAAAAAATAATAATAATGACCTGAACTGGGACTAAAGTGCCTCACTAGTGTTCTAGGCCAGGGGTCTCCATCCTTGGTAACTTTAAGACTTGTGGACATCAACTCCCAGAATTCTGGGAGTTGAAGTCCACAAGTCTTAAAGTTACCAAGGATGGAGACCCCTGTTCTAGGTGAGGCTTTGATTACACACCTGACTCTCCTATAGACACCCCTGGACACATACCGGGAAGGTATATAAGCTATTTGAAGTTATTGAAACAAAGCTAAGAGCCCCCTCGTGCTGACTTTGGAAGGAATCTAACTAATATTTCCTCCAATCCCTGAGTCAAAAGAGACCCCAAACATCTGAAGAGAGCCCAGCGAAACATCTAAAGATGAACACACACGCACAAAAAAAAGTGTTTATAGACAAAAGGATTCTGGTTTTCAAATCTGCCTGCTGGAAAATGCAGGGGTAGTAGTTGTTCTAATTTTAGGTGACTGGAATTCCTCTTAACTCAGGACGGATTCTAAGAGATTCAAATGCTGGAATGTAAGACCAGGGATACCGTGTTTCCCCGAAAATAAGACTGGGTCTTATATTAATTTTTGCTCCAAAAGACGCATTAGGGCTTATTTTCTGGTTAGGTCTTATTTTGGGGCAAATACGGTACTAAATGCATCCGTCTGGCCAATGATCTGAACTGGGGCTTATTTTGGGGGTAGGTCTTATATTACGAGCATCCTGAAAAATCACACTAGGGCTTATTTTCCAGTTTGGTCTTATTTTCGGGGAAACAGGGTAGCAGCAGCTTAAACTTTTTCCACCCATTGTAGTTCTAGCATGCCGGGAAGGATCTCTCAGTTCTCGTTCTTCTCGCAGAACTCAGGATGGACTAAAGGTTAAAGTGAAAGGCTATCAAGAAAGGAGTCAGCTTCGGTTCCCAGAAAAATCCCAACGATGGGAACGGTACATGGTTGCCTCTGTCCCTTCAGTGACTGAGCCCAAACTGCCTCACCAACCTGCTCTGCTTGAAGCCACCGAATCTGCCTGGGAGGACGTGAGCTGGGGCACAGGCGCCTCGAGGCCCGGAATGAGACTCTCGGCGGTGAGGTCAGCTTTTCCTTTTCCGAAAGCACAAAAGAAGTAGAGCAGAAACCAGAATTAGAAGAGGCAGGAGGAAAAAGAAAGCAGCAGGCTGGGATGACCCCAATTCAGAAAGAGCAGTTTCAGAATGTTTGAGAAGAGCCATAGAAGGCACAATTGCCGGCTGACACTGCTCATTGCCAGGAGTTCGATCCTGACTGGCTCAAGGTTGACTCAGCCTTCCATCCTTCCGAAGGTCGGTAAAATGAGGAGCCAGATTGTTGGGGGCAAGAGGCTGACTCTGTAAACTGCTTAAGAGACGGCTGTAAAGCACTGTGAAGCGGTATATAAGTCTAAGTGCTATTGCTAAGTGCTATTGTGATGGTATCATCAATAACCACCTCGCCCTATCTGCACTATGCCTAAATCTGTTTCACAATGCTGAGTTTCAAACATCTTGAAGGTAACTACACTCACAGTGGGGACATCTGCAACCTGTGTGGTGATCCCAACGAGCAGCAGTCCAAGAATAACATAAGCTTTTTCAACTTTACTGGTTGGCAGGACTTCCCTGAATGGAAACCCACCCAAAGGACTTTCCCCACTTGGTTCTGTATCATCCTCATAAGGTCCATCAGACTAGACAATCAATGCCATGTAGACCCAGTCTACTTTTATTGCAAAGATACAGTACTAAAATTTTACAAGACTGAATGTGTTCCCCCTTCCCTCTCACCATCTTCACCTGAATTAGGGAGGGGCTCTTCTGAGATATTTTGTCAAGATATTTTCTTGACCGGAGCTGAAGCCCCTTTTATCTGACCATCGCACCTTGTTAGTGGTTCTTCCCCTTGTCCTTCAAGGTCACTTCCTATGCCTTCCACTTTCCCATGAACTTTTACACCAGTACAAGACCTTGCACCATTCTGGATGTGTAAACAGAACTTCTCAAACTGAGGTTGGCAGTTGTTAACAATAAACTTGTTAATGCATGGAGAAAAAAAACCCTGTACAGATCAGACAGTTTATTTTCACTGTAAATTCTAATTCTATTCAGTTGTAAAGTTTAGGTGGCTGATTAAATTACCCAGCATACAAAATAGGTTTGCAAGAATTTGCTTTATAAAATCCTTAAAGTCAAATTGGTTGGCTTTTAAAACATCTAAGTTGTTGCATTCACTGAGCCTGGAACTTTAAAAAATTATGCTTTCAGAATGCTGGCATTTCAATGTCATCATTTCAATTTGAAGTGGATTTCTACAACTCCTTCTTGTTTGGCCATAGTTTGCTGTGTTACGTCTGCAAAATAAGTTTTTAATCAACCTGGGGGGTTCTGCAGCACTGAGTAGCTTAGAAAATCTATTAGTATAGATCACGATGCTTCCCCCTAAATCATTCGCAGGCAACATTTTGAAGTCACTTTCTGCATTTCTTTTTTATTAAGCCACTTAAGATCACAGGGTCATATTTTGAGATGCTACCAAGGGCCAAACAATCCTTTATTTCACCATATATTATTAATTTGGGGAAGGAGTGTCATTTAAACTGCAAAATAATTTGCACTTTTTGCCTCCCAGGGGGCGGGGGGGGGGGAAACAAGCATAAAACCTTGACATCAAATTCCAGGAGTACCATCATGGGATCGCTCTGCCGGAGGAAAAACTCTGGTCAGCAGGAGGCAAATGCAAAACCCCAAACACCTTCACCAATCGTGCCATTCATTCATTCATCCAGGCAGCAAATTTGCAAGGCTAAAACTGGCAAACAATGCAAGAAGAAACACTAATAGCCCTCAAGGAGAAAACATTGTGGAAATACCTACACGCCTTCCTTAAAACTGGCCTTTGCATATCTTGGAGAGCGGAAAGGATGAGGCTGGGAATGGGCTGAGAGCCTTCAAACTTCAGCTAAGTCTTTCATGGAGATATAAGTCTGTTTTTCTTTAACAATGCTGCTTTACCTGGCTATATTATTCTTTCAGAAAAAAATGTTATATCGGTTTAATTTCCAACATTCTACCTGTGGTTTTGCTTGTATAGACATTTGAGCTCCTGGATTCGTCCGATTTACCTGGTTTCCTTGGGGAAGAATGACCAACAGCTTTTCCACCCCAGGCACGCCTCCTGGAGGGTGCCACCATTTGGATGGACCGTATGTGTGTGCAGGTGTGCAAAGCATGCAATCTAACACAGGTTAACGTGCAGGACAGGAAAGGAAACAACGAAGAGGGTTCTAGGTTTTACCATTCATAGCATCGGAGGTGCAACCGAAGGGATCGGCCAGTGGCAGGATATCGGGGAGCAGGAGCGCAGGCTCAGGAGATTTGAGGCCCTCGATCAGTTTTTCTGGTAAGGAAGCAGGAAGGAGCAAGAAAGAGGAAAGAAGCAAAAAGAAGTAAAGCAAAAACACAGTCACTAAAGCTGCTTCAGTTTAAGGGAGGCTGCTCAACTCCAGAAAAGTCCTCCTTCTCTAGACTTGGTCATCCTTATCAACATTTGTCCCAAAGGTGTTTTGTTTTTTTCCAAGAGGCAACTGGACTTTCTTTTTCTTTGAAGATGTTTCACTTCTCATCCCAGAAGCTTCTTCAGCTCTGACTGGATGGTGGGGAATGGAAGGATTTATAACTCTTTGCAGACAGCTGGTCATTTGCATCCTTTTAGAGGGTGGTTGAGGCCACTTGGAGGTTTATCTATGTGTCTTCAGGGTCACCTGAGTGGTGCAAATGGGTGTGGAGCCTTCTTGGAACTGTCGAAAGGACTGTCTTGTAGACTGGAGATAGATGACGTATCTGTTGAGGGAGGGCTGTTCAATTTTGACATGGATGGCCTCTTTGACCCCTCTTTCAAACCAGCAGTCTTCTCTGTCCAAAATGTGGATTTTGCTGTCTTCAAAAGAGTGGCTGCTCTTTTAAAGTCCACACTTTGGACAGAAAGGACCGCTGGTTTGAAAGAGGGGTCAAAGAGGCCGTCTACATTAAGATTGAACAGCCCTCTCTCAACAGATCATCTATCTCCAGTCTACAACACAGATCCTTTCAGCTGTTCCAAGGAGGCTCCACACCCATTTGCACCACTCAGGTGACCCCGAGGACACAGAGAAACCTCCAAGTGGCCTCAAGGACTCGCAAAAAGGATGCAAATGGCCAGCTGTCTGCAAGGAGTTATAAATCCTTCCAGGCTGCAGGACTGCAGAGACATACATTTTATAACACACCTGGCCAAGGAAAAAAAGCATCCCGAAGACCAACTACAGACAACATCATTACCTGAGATCCTAGGTGCACCTCACTTACCGACCGCTTGTTTAGCAACCGTTTATAAAGTTAAAAAACAACTCGCTCTGCGACCCATCCTCCTCACACTGAATGCAATTGGCTTGCAAGAAGCAGGGTTAATGGAGAAGTACAATACCAAGCTGCAGTCGCCAGATGCCTTGATTAATAAGTGCCACCATTTCCAAAATGGAAGCGAGGTCATAAGCCTGTTGTGGTCACATGGTTTTCCGCTTAGTGACAACTATGCTTAGCAATGGAGGGGCCAGGCCAGTTGAGGTCAGTAAGCGAGGACTGCCTGCATATTCAATGGGATACAATCAAAAACCATTCAGGACACACGGCCACAGGTGCTGAGTTGTGAACCTCCCACGTGGGCCAGGAGGTATTTCAGAGCTTCTGATTCCATGGATTACAAGGTCCTGCCTGCCCCACGTACCCCACGGATGGAGGGCTTCCAAAGGGATGGAGCTGAATTGGAATGGAAGCAGGTGCAACGGTTACTGCCTTCCTGAGCTGCTCTTCGCTATTTTTCCCACTGACAAGTAAGTTACAGATGCACGACTAAAATCTTCCGTTTGTGACCTTTGTAACGCCCCCCCCCCAAGCTGACAAGAAATCTTTGTCTTTTGTCCCCTCGAGCTCAACTGCATAACTAATTATGCAAATCAAGCTGCCTTGAAGGGCTACAATTAACTAGGTTCTGTGAAGACTCTCCGAGCAGCTGCGAGCAAATTTCTGCAGGCTGGTTCGCTGAGGTTGTGAAAAATGGAGAAAAGCAAGCTTGAATCGACCTCAGAACCCTACTCCACCCCCCAAAATAAAAGCCGCATCAACAAGGATCTGAACATAACGATGTTTTTTTCCAGAATGCAAGGCTCTTTAAGATCAAATGTCCCAATAATAAGCTATCTAAGATGTATAAAGGCATGTCAAATGAATGTTGGAAGTGTAAGAATAAAGAAGGGAATAAAGAATCTATGGTGGACATGCGATAAAGCATAAAGTATGATTCACACTCAATGACTACTCTGATTAAAGAAAGGACCATAAGTACTTTCGTTTCCACATGGAAACGGCTCTGAATTTCATGCTTGATGTGAAGACATAATGTTGACTCTGAGTTTTATAGATCAGATTGATGGATCTTTATAGAAATGACTTGTTCATATTATTATGGAAAAACAAAAACTTGTGACGATGCTAATACCTTATTCTAGTGCAACAGAGAGAGTCGGAGGTCAATTTTTCTTTTTCTTTTCTTTCTCCTACCCTTCCTCACTTCTCTTTCCCCTTTCCCTTCCTTCCTCAATGTTCCTCTGTTTACTTTTAAGTTTTCTATTTTATAATATTTATGTCAACTTGCAAAGCATCCTTGGCCATGATTTAATTGGGGCATCAGTTGCAACCCTGATAATTTAATCATTTAATGAAAAAATGTTTGGAAAAAGTAAATATTAAAAAAAAATCAAATGTTCCAATGTTATCCTGTTTCCCCGAAAATAAGACATCCCCTGATAATAAGCCCAATCGGGCTTTCGAGGGCATGGGCTAAAATAAGCCTCCCCCTGAAAATAAGCCCTCCCCAAAAATATTTAAAAGCAGAGCTGGAAATCAGGTAAGAAGGCAAGAGGAGCCCCATCTTGCTCCACTCACCCCAAAATAATAAGACCTCCCCGAAAATAAGGCCAAGCGCTTATTTTGGGGTTCAAAAAAATATAAGACAGGGTCTTATTTTCGGGGAAAGACGGTAGTGCTGAATTCAGTCACCTAACTGAGTCCCATTGGCTGTTGGTAGGCAGAAGCTGGTTTTGTGTGTGTGTCTTTGTGTCTTTGAATAGTAGGAAGGGAGAGTGAGTCTCAAAAGTTCAGACCGCTTCCAAAAAGCTCTCTTTCCTGCAGGGGTCTGAAATACAGGGCTTGTAGCCAACTAACTTTCTTCAACCCTTAGGAGTCACTGGGGCCACACCTTTCAAATGTCAAAGGAATTGCAACACATCCAGAAGACACAATGGGGGAAAAAGTTGACCCTTCTGGATCCTATTGAAACTGGAATTTCATACATTTTAGAACAGAGGTCTTCAAACTTGGCGGCTTTAAGACTTGTGGACTTCAACTCCCAGAAGCATAGCTGGCTGGGGAATTCTGGGAGTTGAAGTCCACAAGTCTTAAAGCCGCCAAGTTGGAAGTTCTCTGTTTTAGAACCTCCAAAAAATAAAAGGGAAATCTTTGGTTGGGAGAGAAGGACTAGGGCTTGTCATGCTGAGATTGACGTCTTGAGTCTGCCCTCAAGAAGAGGGGTCATGCAAGAACAGATGAAAATCCAGTTTCCCCGGTTCTGCGGAATCCGATAGATAGCTGTGGCTTGGAATTTCCTTACTGCACTTAAGAGGTTCCTAGGAACTCAACAAACCAGAGAGTCAACAAACCTGCTCTGTCATGATGGCATTCTATCCTAAGCCACCCATCTATGTACCCGCGGCCTGAGCATTAAGTAAATTTTCATATTTGGAAATATAACAGAATATGACGGAATTGGAAGGGACCTTAAAAGGTCTTCTAGTCCAACACTCTGCTTAAGCAGGAGACCCTACACCATTTCAGACAAATGACAATCCAATCTCTTCTTTAAAGTCTCCAATGTTGGAGCAGCCACAACTTCTGAAGGCAAATTGTTCCACTGATTAATTGTTCTCACTGTCAGAAAGTTTCTCCTTAGTTCTAAGCTGGATCTTTCTTGAGTCGCTTCCACCCATTGCTTCTTGTCCTGCTTTCAGGGGCTTTTGGAGAATAAGTTGATTATAGGAAAGAATGTACCTTCCTAGGGGTACTTGTTCAACAAGCTCCTAGAGATAAATTTCACCTGTCTATCAAGTATCCATGTGTCAACGGTTTGGTTCCTGCTACGGTATGTAAAGTCACAGGGGCCAAGGGGGCTCAGGAGGAAGCGTGGATGCACATCTCTGACTGCTTCACCCACTTCAACCAGCCGAACAGGTCGAAGCTACAGCCAAAGTAAAGCCAAGCCAGAAAATGAATGCAGACACGGACTCCCCCGGCTGCTCATCTGCAGTGGCCATCGATGCCTTCACCCCACACTTCAAAGCAGGAGAAGGAGGGTTGATTTGTGCTGTTAGAGAAGCATCTGGCAAGCTGCTCCAGCAGAGGCTGTTGAAATATCACTCTCACGGCTGCCTCCCCTGTTTTATAGCTACACCGTGATATCAAGATGCCCTAGCAAAAGATTCAACGTACATAAACAATCCATAAACATAAATGCTCAGAAGAGGGAGAGAGAGGGGAGGGAGAGAGGGGAGACAGAAGGGGGAAAGAGAGAGACAGAGAGAGAAATTGGAGAGAGAGAAAGAGAGGGAGAAAAAGAGAGAGGAAGAGAGAAATTGGAGAGAGAGAGAGAAAGAGATTGGAGAAAGAGAAATTGGAGAGAGAAAGAGAAAGAGAGAGGGAGAGGGAGGGAGAAAGAGAGGGAGAGAAAGAGAGAGAAAGAGAAATTGGAGAGAGAGAAAGAGAGATTGGAGAAAGAGAAATTGGAGAGAAAGAAAGAGAGAGAAAGAGAGGGAGAAAGAGAGAGAGAGAAAGAGAAAGAGAGAGAGAGAGAAAAATTGGAGAGAAGGACAAAAAGAGAGAGAGAGAGAGAAGGAGGGAGGAAGAGAGATAGACTTTGTCAAGATGAAACCCATTCAGCAGTTGTTCAGCTATTTGGTTCACTTAGAATCAAGGTGCACCAAAACACGTTGCATAAAAACACAGATTACAACTATTTTACTCACTCTGCAACTACGGAAGGTAAAAAAAACAACAAGGGCAGCTAACCCAGTAAACACCCACTGCAGCAGAGTCCTTTTCTTTGGACATCAGCTGGAGAGGAGAAATGATCTCATCAGAATCCAGTCAAATCCCAAGAGGCTCAGAAAGCAAATAAGCAAATAAGTATATATACTTCAGAATGATCAGCACCAAGGAGCAGCTGGCTTTGCATTTGTACAAATTGTGCATAATCCCACTTTGGCATATATTGCTTTGACTCTGCATCATTTACTTCAATTTTGCTAGTCTTGGGTAGACAGCCGTGAGCCTACCCACGGAGGCACGAAAGCTTTGAAAATGTTCTTCAGCCACTTATGTGGTCTCCAAGGTTTCAGGAGATGTGCCTGGTGCAATTTTAAATGGGCCCTTCAACCGGCCACCAGTGTTGAGATGTCAAGGTATCCACAATTTGCAAAAGGAGTACCAAGGATCTCTCAAAATTTAGCTAAGCATCTACAAAAAGGCCTCTGACCCACCTTTTAGACCTGAAAGATAAAGGTTCCCCTCGCACATATGTGCTAGTCGTTCCCGACTCTAGGGGGCGGTGCTCTTCTCCGTTTCAAAGCCGAAGAGACAGCGCTGTCCGAAGACGTCTCCGTGGTCATGTGGCCAGCATGACTCAACGCCAAAGGCGCACGGAGCGCTGTTCCCTTCCCACCAAAGGTGGTCCCTATTTTTCTACTTGCATTTTTTACCTGCTTTCGAACTGCTAGGTTGGCAGAAGCTGGGACAGGTAACGGGAGCTCACCCTGTTACGCGGCACTAGGGATTCGAACCGCTGAACTGCCGACCTTTCGATCGACAAGCACAGCATCTTAGCCACTGAGCCACCGCTTCCTTCTCCTGTGTATGTTCATGACTACACAAGTACAATCTTCTTCCCACTTTGGGCATCTTCAAGAAACATCGGAGCTGCTTCTTATTTTGATAATCCAGAACAAAAACCTGGATTTGACCAGCCCCGTGTGATATGGACAATACTGAATCGAATTCCCACTGGTCATGGTAGATGTGCCAACGCCCTCAATAAGAAAGGCAAAATACCATCACCAAATTGTGATTGTGGGGCCGAAAAACAAACTATCCAACACAGACATAGTGACAGAGTTTCATAGTAGAGCCTATAATGGAGATTTCGCTAATTTCCTGGTGGCGACGAATGAAGTAAAACATAAAATTTGCAACCTGTAATCTTCCTGTTAAGATATCAGATTTTATACTCTCTGTTTTGTATTTTACCACGGTGTTCCTTTATACTGAAAGCTGATGTAAATGTGCCATACAATAAATAAAATAAATAATAGGCTGGTATTTAAATAGGCTTTGAGATTAACCTTCCATTGCCTTCCCCAAGACCTTTTGATATGATGCTCCTAACCCCTTCCCTTAAATTTTGCCATCATACAGGATCTAAGAAGCCTGCCTTTTCGTGACAATCCCTGCCCTACGGAATATCTTTTCCCTTGATGACTGGCAGGGCTCTGCCCTCCTAGCTTTCCGAAAAGCAGTGAAGACCCACATAGCACAGGGGGAGAGGGCTTAATATGGTATTATGTTGTTTTACCATTGATATGGAGCCTGAGTGGCGTAGGAGGCTAATGCCTCCTACTAAGGCAGCATTTAACATGCAGCTGCCTGCAATTACTGCGAGTTCAATTCTCACCAGGCTCAAGGTCGACTCAGCCTTCCATCCTTTCTAAGGTGGGTAAAATGAGGACCCAGTTTGTGGGGGCAATAAGATGACTTTGTATAAAATATACAAACGTATGAAGGCTATTGCTTAACGCATTGTAAGCCGCCCTGAGTCTCCGGAGAAGGGCGGCATATAAAAATAAATAAAAATTAAAAAAAATTGTTCATGGAACTACCCAGGTGACTATATAAATGTTTTAAATAAGTAAATAATAAATAAAAATGTTACGGATAATATAGTAGCCTATTTTAAAATATCACAATACTATTTAAACAACCCTAAATCTTATCAGTGTCAAACATAAATGGAAGGTCATGCAAACAGATATATAGCGAAATTGATAAAATTGAAAACAGAAAATCTAGTCCTTTTTCCAAAACGATGGCACCAAGACGGCTCTCTTACTTTTGCCCCCTTGTTGAGTGGCATCGCATTTTAATGGGCATAAGGGCGTTTTGCTACGTCATCTTGTTCACATAAGTCATAGTTACCTGGTGTATCTGACAGTGGAAGAGGAATGAAAGGGTCAGTAACAGCCAGAAGTGGAGGACTGGTATCCAGAATGTCTTTTGTTTTTTCAACTGGAAAGAAGGAAAGAAGAAGGGAAGGGAAGGGAGAGGGGAGGGGAAGGGAAAACGAAAACGAAAAGGAAAAGGAAAAGGAAAAGGAAAAGGAAAAGGAAAAGGAAAAGGAAAGGAAAGGAAAGGAAAGGAAAGGAAAGGAAAGGAAAGGAAAGGAAAGGAAAGGAAAATGGAGCAAAGTAGATTGAAAATCAAATTGAAAATCTTCAAGCAAAGTAGAAGATAGCAGAGAAAAAACTGGATTTGTTCAATGCCTTTCTAATATGCTTTTCCCCTGGATATCTTAAGCTATAATTTCCATCTACATTAGAGACAAACAGAATAAGACGCAGCTTCCCATCTCGACATTTTGCATCATCCAGGATTAATGCAGGAGTCACTATGTGTTTGTCTAGATTTTTTTTTAAAAGATGTCTAGATTTTCTAGGTACACAAATAAAGCTCTGGCCTGCATCACACAGGTGGAGAATGAGGGGCCAGATGCAGCTAGTACCCACGCAAAAAGAAACGTTCCCTACATTAACCAAAAGAACTTCATTGAAGTGTATAATCTCAACACACACAAAAGAAATCAAAGGAGGAGCTGAAAGAGACTGAGAGCACGGAGGATGCCCCACAGACAGCACCCTACCCAGTCACAATAACCTTTCCTTTTTGATTGACAGCATGGTAACAAGGGCACCGGACTCAGAAGGGAAGCTAGGAAGACATACAGAAGAGGCACCCCTAAAATGATCATTATCTCAGCAGTTTTGGAGTTTTTAAAAATCCAGAGTTCTGAGTTACATGGAAGGAAAATGACATTCAAATGGCGTGGAATCCGTCCATTCAAACTCTCAAGAATCAGCTGCTACCTCCTGTGCTGGCTAAAACAGGGGCATCGAACATGGACCAATTTTAAGACTTGTGGACTTCAGGAATTCTGGGAGCTGAAGTCCACAACTCTTAAAGTTGCCGAGGTTGGAAACCCCCCCTCCCTCCTTGAGCTCATGGTTCCAAAACGTTTCCCTAGTAGCCACCGTTGGAGGACTAGATGGCAGCCATGTTGCAAAATGTGTGGCCAACCATATTTCACAATTCTCTGTGGATTGGAAAGTTGGCACCACAGTCAATCTTTCATTTGTAACAGTACATCTCGCAATGGAAATTCCTAGAAAGGCTCTGGAGCCTGGGGAGAACGAAGAATGGGTCTTCCAGTCCCACCGGAAGTTGGCAAACAGGCCGTTCCCAGCCTCCGGAGGACCTCCGCGAGGATGGGGAAGGCTGTTTTTACCCTCCCCAGGCTCCAAGAAAGCCTCTGGAGCCTGGGGAGGGCAAAAAACGGGCCTACTGGGCCTACTGTGCCATCTTAATTGTGCTTGAGACAAGATTCAGCTTGACAGACCCAAATCAACCCGGGACGAGCTTCCACCCTTCCTGGGTCCCCCACAACCTACCTGAGATGGGTGCAAGAGGAGAAGAGCCGAATGCGTCTGACTGCGCTGCGGAAGGTGCGGGCTGAAAACCTGGGATCAGGTTCTCCGTTGAACTGTCAAGTTTCTCAGGAGGTTTACCTGGAATTCAAAGGGGCCAGTCATGAAATGTTACATGTGTGACTCGCCACTTGGAGAGGGGGGGATATAACTTCATGGAGATCAGGGAGGAAGAGAAGAGGACAACCCGAAGGAATTCTGTGCAAGTGTTTCAGCGAGGAAAGGTGGAGGAAAGGAGAGAGGCTGCGCCGAGAAAAGAGCCAATGCTCAAAGCTGCTGCCAACTACTAATCGCTTGTTGTATGCCAGGGGTGTCAAACTCAAGGCCCCCTGGGGGCCAGATCCGGTCTGTGGGGTGCTTAGATCTGGCCCATGGGGCCACCCTAGAAATAGCAAAGGACCGACCCTTAGTGCCTCTGCCAGTGAAAAGGGGGCTTTGAGCAGGGTTGAAATGCTCTGAAGTCTGCCACCGGTTTGCTTCACACACATATGCGCACATTAAGCATTAAAAAAATGCTTGAAAAGTAAAAAAAAAAAATGTTTCAGCATCAGCTGTGTGACAATCAGCTGTGCTGCGTGATCATCGGAACTTTTTTTTTTTAGCATTTTTTTACTACCAGTTCCGGAGAACGGGTAGCATTTTGACTACCGGTTCGGGCGAACCGGCCCAAACCGGTAGCATTTCACTTCTGGCTTTGAGGGTTGCATGAGGCTGTCACAGCCGAAAATGGAGCCCGTTTTCGCTGGCAGAGCACTTGGCCCACCCCAGGCGCTGACATGAATGACGTCAAGCTGGCCATGCCCACTCTGGCCACGCCTACCCCACTTCCCCCGAGGTCAAACGCAACCCTGATGCGGCCCACAATGAAATGGAGTTTGACCCCCCTGTTGTGTGCCGTGGGAGGAGGAGAGCCTCCTGCTGAGCCAGATGAAGAAGTTTTAGGGGATCCATAAGGAAGCCAGTTGCCAGAGAAGGAGCTACTAATGGAGCAAAGGTTCCAGCATGGACACCCCCCTCCCTCCTTCCTTCTCTTTCTCCATCTGAGGAACACGGAAACCCGGAGGGCTGCTTTGGTGAGTGCAAGGTACGAAAAAACGGGGCAGTAAAAATAACGTCAGCTTCTCTGTGGTGAACCAAGAGCCACTAAAACTGCCTTGCTTTGCCGCCATCTTTGGTCCAGCTTCTGCACCAACCCCAAACTAACCATCGCTTAATTTTGCAAAATCCTTATTCAGCAGCTCCTCTGCCGTCAGCTTGGAGAAGTTGTCATCGTCAAAAGGGTTCCAAGTAGAGACGTCTGGTGGGTTGTAGACATTTTGCTGAGAGGTCCTTGGAGACCCCGAAGGGGTAGTCGAGGCAGACCTAGAGAGAGCCAGCCCAAGAAGTCAAGAGTTAGGAAGGCTGGTTCCGTGGTTGATTGTTGACTAAAGCCACTAAGAGCCACAGACAAAGCTAGGCATGTCAGACCACAGAAGCCCTGTCAAGACTATATACCCTAAGCCAGGGCTCTCCAACCTTGGCAACTTTAAGACCTGTGGACTTCAACTCCCAGAATTCCTCAGCCAGCAAAGTTGCCAAGGTTGGAGATCCCTGCCCTAAGCCACTCGAACCACGAAATGGCAAATAAATTTGATAAATAAAGTAGAAAATAAATACAAATTGCCCACAGTGGTCTAAGGGTATATTTGGAAACCCAGGAACAGAAATTAAGATGACTTAATTTATCAAATTAAGTTTGATAAATGTGATAAACTTTACTAATATTGTTATTGTAATTTGGATTAATATGAATGATGCCCAGAATCAACACTGTCCACATACAATATGGATGTATATTTAAAAAATAAATAATAATAATGATTTTAGTGTCCTCCAACTCACGCGTGCTCCCCAAGAGGAACAGATGTCAGCCCCGGACTTACTTGGACTTATTGAGGCTGGCTTCCGCAGCTGCTGCCTGTAGCAGTTGTGTTGATTTACTGGCTGGGACCCCGAAGACAGTGCTGTGGGTCACATCGCTTAGAATCCTCCGGTGTCCACCTCGCTGAGTCTTGGGGGACGATGGTGGCGTGAGAGACCCCACCTTCTGTCCCTGTATAGCTGATGGAGGAGTGGTTGACATCTTTTGTTGCCTTGGAGGTGCTTGCTTTTAGGAAAACAAAACAGGGAACCAAGGATAAGAAAAAGGAAGAGAAAGAAAGAGAAAGAAAAAAGAAAGAAAGAAAGAAAAAAGAAAGAAAGAAAGGAAGGAAGGAAGGAAGGAAGGAAGGAAGGAGGGAGGGAGGGAGGGAGGGAGGGAGGGAAGGAAGGAAGGAAGGAAGGAAGGAAGGAAGGAAGGAAGGAAGAAAGGAAGGAAGGAAGGAAAGAGATGGCAGCTATTCAGAAGCTTCTGTAGTAGAAAATTCTTTATGAACAACACATCAAACAATTTAACAGAAATGAAAATGCAACCAAGCAGGATTGCATCACAGAGCATCAGATTATTACCATGTGCATGATTTGGTTATTCCATAATCTCCTGCAGGTAAAATGTCCATCTATTGTTCTGGGCGTGTAGAGGCACACACACATGCTAAGCAATAGCAAGAGCACTTAAGACTTATATACCGCTTCACAGTGCTTCCCAGCCCTCTCTAAGCGCTTTACAGAATCAGCCTCTTGCCCCCACAACAATCTGGGTCCTCATTTTACCCACCTCGGAAGGATGGAAGGCTGAATCAACCTTGAGCCTGGTGAGATTTGAACTGCCAAATTTCAGGCAGCTGGCAGCCGGCAAAAGTAGCCTGCAGTACTGCACTCTAACCACTGCGCCACCATGGCTTAGAGAGCTTCTGTTTCTCCAAAAATAAGACCTCCCCTGAAAATAAGCCCTCCCCGAAAATATTTAACTGCACGCGCAGCCAATCCCGGCCATTTCCTCTGGTTAGGGTTAGGGAGACAGAGCTGGAAATCAGATAAGACGGCAAGAGGAGCCCCATCTTGCTCCACGCGCCCCAAAATAATAAGACCTCCCCGAAAATAAGGCCAAGCGCTTATTTCAGGGTTCAAAAAAATATAAGATAGGGTCTTATTTTTGGGGAAACGCGGTATACACGCAGAATTTCCCTCCCTGTATATATGGAAGGCGATGGAGGCCAAATCATACCAACAAGATAATACCTAAATAAGATTAACCTAATTTCATCACATTTCCAAATGAGGGACCCCTTCAAAGAATGTGGGAAGAAGCCCCTAGACTTTTTGAAAACAGAAAAGCCAGAAGTTTTCCACCATCCTAGGACTGTTGTAAGTCTATTTTCTTGCCTATTTTCTAACCACAGCACAAGTTCTAACCTGACGAACCAGGTTTCCATTTCTTTTTGAATCAACCTTTGTCATTTCCCACCCAGCCTCAGCTAAACTTTCACAGGTAACTTACGATGCCATTCAGATGGAAGAGAGATGGAGGAAGCAGCTGAATTATTTGCTCTTTTATTACAAACACTTGTATACTGGCCCACTGCAAGACTCCAAGCAGTTCACGGTCCATAAAACATCATAAAAACCAGCGTTACAAAGCACAAAAATGCCACTAAAAATTCAATTAAAAACCATAAAAGCAAACAGAATGAAAATGGGATGATTCAAACCCAACAGAAGAGGCAACCCAGGATCTGTCACTCAAATCCCCAAAGGCCTGTGAAATAAGATTGTTTTCAACTTCTGACATGCTGGCTGGGGAATTCTGGGAGTTGAACTTCTCTCTCTCTCTCTCTCCAATCTCTCTTTCTCTTTCCTTCTCTCTTCCTCTCGCTCTCCCTCCCTCGCTCTCCTCTTTCCCTCTTTCTCTCCCTCCCTTTCTCTCTTTCTCCCCCTCCCTCTCTTCCTCTTTCCCTCTCTTCCTCCCTGTCTCTCCTCTTTCTCCCTCCCTCTTTCTCTCTCCTCTTTCCCTCTCTCTTTCTCTTTCCCTCTCTCTCCCTCCCTCTTTCTCTCTCTCCCTTTCTCTCTCCTCTTTCCCTCTTTCCCTCTCTTCCTCCCTGTCTCTCCTCTCTCTTTCTCCCTCTCTTTCTCCCTCCTCTTTCCCTTTCTCTCTCCTCTTTCCCTCTCTCTCTCCCTCCCTCTTTCCCCCCCCTCTCTCAAATTGTGTTAATATGGGCACTGTGTCCCTCTGCCCTGATGCCCATGGAATTAATAAAACTGATGACTGAAGAAATCTCTTCACTCAGGCACGTTTTACTTCCGTTAGCAGGGATATTTGGGGAGGGGGAAGCGGGGAGGGGCTTTTCCCCCAGACCAGCTCTAGAAAACAGATGGCTTCAGCAACAGTCTCAGAGCGTTACGGAGTAACGAGAAGACGGTGCTCGAAGACCTCCAGCTCTGAGCTGGAAGGCGCTTCTCTGCCGTTTTTACTTGAACGCAGGCAGGAGCCAGAAAAGCTGCATTTCAAAAAGAAGCAAATGGGAACTATTACAGTGGAATATAATTAAGAGTCGGTCTATAGGGGAGGAAAGGGGGGGGGGGGGAAGGAGATGCAGGGGGGATGAAATTTACTTGCCGGCATCTGCAGAGATGGGAGCGGAGGTTCCTGGCAAGTCTCCAGGCCTTTTATATGGAGGCAGCTGCTTCTCTTGGTGCAGGGGAAGCCCTGGCTTTCATTAAGCAAAGAGCACTTGATAAGCGCATACATTGTAAGCATTAAATGGAAGGTCTGTTAGGATGGGGTGGGGAGGAGGGCTCTGGAAGTCAGAAGCCATGGAGCTTCAGCACAGCTAACCCTAAGAGTATATTCCCCCCACCCTCAATCCCATGAGCCTTCCCAGGTTGCCTGGGGAACTCTTAGATCCTCTAAGACAGGGGTCTCCAACCATAGCAACTTTAAGACTTGTGGACTTCAACTCCCAGAATTCTTCAGCCAGCTTTGCTGGACGTTGAAGTCCACAAGTCTTAAAGCTGCCAAGGTTGGAGACCCCTCCTCTAAGAATTCCAGGTAACCACCTTGAAAATCTTGGTTCTATTCGCTGAAGGTTCTGGGTGTTGGAGATCGACCGTTGAGCCAGGGGAAGGAGTCAAACAGGGAACTAGTCTAGAATTTCTAGGTGGGTACAAGAGGCGATGTCTGATCCCTCTTGAATGCTGCTGAACCTCATCTAGTCTGAGCCAGGTGCTAACCATTAGTCTGAGATCCCCATGTTTATATTGCTTGGGCAATATAACAGCTACCTGAACTCTTCCTGTGTGGATCTGGTTATTTGCGCCTGCAAAAGACACCTCTTGCCTCCCTCCTGGCCAAGCTGCTGCTACCGTGATAATGGAGTGAGCAGGTGAGGAGAGCTGTGGATCCTTTATCTTTTGCATGCTAGTTGTCCAGTCTGCAGCTCTCCACAGAGACCTCCCTTGCCTCGACTTTTCAGAGAATAGAAAGGATCCCTCCTGAAATGCCTTCTCTACCCTCATTCCTTCTGAGGGCTGAGATATCGCTGGTCTGACCCTCGTCTAGACCAGGGGTCTCCAACCTTGGCAACTTTAAGACTTGTGGACTTCAACTCCCAGAACTCTGGGAGTCCACAAGTCTTAAAGTTGCCAAGGTTGGAGACCCTTGGCCTAGGCTGCGTCTCTTCCTTTTGTCTCCCAAGGTTCTTCTCACAGCCCATTGGGTAAAGACAAGCAAGGGAACCCAACACCATTTTTCACCAACTCCGGTCAAAAGGGACACCAATTGCAGGAAAGGGGCCACCAGGTAATCCATGTGGTGCTGGGACCTCAAATTGGCCACCTCTGAGCTACATGAACCCCAAAGAGAGACCTACAGCAAACCTTTTGGGGCTTCTGAAGCAAGTCAGCCCTCGCTATCTGCAAAGAAGAGAATCTGGACAAAAAACCAAGGACTTCAAATCCAATTCCAATTGAAGGGACGATCGGCCATATTTCAAGAGGTTCTCCTTGGCCTGAGACACACCAGGCTCCATTTGCATCCCAGAATAAATACAATCAAAGTTTCAAGGTTCTCAGAGAGGAATAAACCAACCATACGAAGTTGGTCCATATCACATGCTACGTAGTTGCCTATTGTTTAATGTTTGGCCTGGTGTCTTCTCCAAACACAACTACTTGTCTACCCCACTGTTCTGCAGGATCAAGGGGCCTTCAGTTTCCCATCTTCCTTGGCATTTACTCCCCAAGGCCTGTCCTATTTCCAACTACCCTGTTTCCCCCAAAATAAGACATCCTCTGATAATAAGCCCAATCGGGGTTTTGAACATATGCGTTAAAATAAGCCCCCTCCAAAAAAAATAAGCCCTCCCCAAAAATATTTAAACACAGAGCTGGAAATCAGATAAGATGGCAAGAGGAGCCCCATCTTGCTCCACCCGCCCCAAAATAATAAGACCTCCCCGAAAATAAGGCCAAACACTTATTTCGGGCTTCAAAAAAATATAAGACAGGGTCTTATTTTTGGGGAAACACGGTAGAGCACTGCCAACAAAATGAACATTTATACAACTATGCTATTTATTTATTTATTTATTTATTTATTTATTTATTTATTTATTTATTTTTAAATTTGTATACCGCCCTTCTCCCTGAGGACTCAGGGCGGTGAACAGCCAAGTAAAAGCATAAATTACAATGGGAGTTTATGGGAGGCCCCTGAAAGCTCTTCGCTGAAGTGGAGCTAACTTCAGCTCTTGATTCCAAATATGGAATCAACTCTTTGCAAATTCTTGTTGAGTAATTTGGAATTTTGCAAACAATCCTGCCCACATAACCATCCCAGCCTCTGCCGGCTCTGCTCAATGGAGGCCTTCTCCCACCCTTGTGTCTCCAGCCCAGGAATGGAGGCCAAAGCAAACAGCAGAGCTGCTCCCATCTGTCTTGGCCCACAAGGCTGAAAGGAAGCCAAGCCAGAGAAGAGAAGCTGCCTTATGCAGCAGAGGCTTCGTCCACTCCACTTCCCAGCACAAAGCAGGGTCAATGGATCAGCCAGCAATTGGTCAAATAATAATAAAGTATTTAAGAGTATTAATGTTATGAGGTCGGCACTTTATGCCAATTATGAAACAGATACACGAATGATTTGGCTGCAGTTGTAACAGAACTGTAATATTTATTTTGATAAATCTTTATCTGCCTTTGCTTCAGGTTGCCCATCAAATGAGATTTCATCTACTGAACCTTGTGGTTGTGGATCAATTTGATCCCAGTTCTCCAATGATTCACATTCAACGGTAGCATCTGGCACTGATGGGAGTCTGTATTCCAGATGTGGAAATCCCTGCAAAGCCCTAAAGAGGCACTTTGCTGTTTCGGATTACTCCAGTAGTAAATCTACCCCAAACTCTACGCTCACATGTCTTCCCACAGATGACATCAAAGAAAGAAAGAAAAAGATCCATCATTTACATTCGCCAATTGACCAGAATCCCCTCCACCCAATGGAGAGCTACATGGTTCCTGCAGACAATCGATCTGAAACATGCCAGCTCTAAAAAGTAGAACAAAAGTGATCAGGATCACCTTTTTTGGAGTAAAACCTCTAGTAGCAGAATTTTGTAAGCCCCCGTGTGCTTCCTCCTCCCTCCTCCATGGGAACCAGGGAGGGGATGGCCTGAATTGTTTTCCCAAGGTATTTTCTTGGAGCAGGCTTAAGCCATGTTTCTCTAATCATTATACAGGTAGTCCTTGATTTACAACAACAATTAAGACCAGAGTTTCCATTGTTAAGCAAGGCAGTTGTTAAGCGAGTCACATCCAATATTACTTTTTTTTTTTTTTGCTATAATTGTTAAGCAGATCACTTGATTCTGGGAGTTGAAGTCCACCCAACTTCAAGCTACCAAGGTTGAGAAACACTATGCTAAATGAACAGTTATAAGTCAAGGACTACCTTCCCAGTGCCCTTCAAGGCCACTCCCTCTACCTTCTACAAACACGAGTCACAGCTGTTACATGTTGAACATAGCCCTAATAAAAGCACATTTATTAGTGTCTTTTGCACTAATAACCGGTTCCACAGGTTTACTAGCTGGAGTAGCCTTCCGTCCCAGATCGGTTCACATTGCAACTTCCAGAACAGAACCGGTTGGTCCTTAGAGAAGGTTGGCCTTCACCAGCGGAATCTAGTTCCAGTTCAAGCTACTAGTTTTGACCAGTTGAGACTCTAGAAAGAGTGCAGAGAAGAGCAAGCAAGAGGATTAGGGGACTAAAAGATATGAAGAACAGTTGCAGGAACTGGGCCTGGCTAGTCTAGTGAAGTGAAGGACCAGGGGAGACAGGAGAGCATCTTCCAGTATTTGAGGAGCTGCCACAGAGAGGAGGAAGGGGGTCAAGCTATTTTCCAAGGCACCTGAAGGCCAGACAAGGAACAATGGATGGAAACTGAACAAGGAGAGATTCAACCTGGAAATAAGGAGAACTTTCCTGACAGTGGGAACAATCAACCCATGGAACAGACGTTGCCTTCAGAAGTTGTGGGAGCTTCATCACTTGAGACTTTCAAGAAGAGACTGGACTGCCATCTCTCAGAAATGGTGTAGGGTCTCCTGCTTGGGCAGGGGGTTGGACTAGATGACCTCCAAGGTCCCTTCCAACTTTGTTAATCTGTATCTGTATCTACTAAAGAGTTGCTGGCTACCCTCAGACAACGCCCAGTCAAAGATCTGGTGGCTGCACTCAGACAACAAGACAAACTGGGCTAGAGTTCTTAAATTTGCCTTTATTCTTTATGGCGTAGATCCTGAGCGCCACTTAGCCCAATCGGCTTGGTCTCACACAGCGCATGGTGCAGAACATGGCAGGCGTGGCGCCCGAACCTATGGCGGGAAAGGTCTACCTGTTCCTTACCGGGTGTTCCTGGTTGGGCGCCGTTGGTGCCACTGAAGACGGCACCTGCGGTTGCTGCAGGAGCTGTGCGGGGGGCTTCTGCTGCCCGGCAACAATCTTGGCTTGGATGGTGGCCTGCTGGGCCAACAGCTGTGGCGGTGGCGGCGGCTGCGTGGCGGCCACTGCTCCCTGCTGCACCACCGGGAATTGAGGCTTTCCAGGCGTCAGGGCAGCCTGTGGCATCTTGTGGGCCTAGGAGCGGAAAGCAAAGCCTTCGTCACTGCCTGCCATTTTCTGGAAGGCGTAAAGCTGAGCGCCACGACAGGTTCTCCCCGGGGGTGAAATGCTCCCGGTTCAGACCGGATCGCCCGATCCAGTAGCGATGACGGCGGGTGGTTCGGAGAACCGGTAGCAAAAATCCCTACCCAGCTGAGCCGCAGGATCATCAGAGGTTGTTTTTTTTTTTAACTTTTAAAAGCATTTTTTCTTTGGCCAAAAAAATGCTTTTAAAAGTAAAAAAAAAAGCCTCTGACGATCCCGCGGCTCAGCGGGGATCGTCAGAGCCTTTTAAAAGCATTTTTTGTAGAAAAAATGCTTTTAAAAGGGCTCTGACGATCCCCGCTGAGCCGCGCAATCGTCAGAGGCTTTTTTTTCTTTTAAAAGCAAAAAAAGAAAAGAAGAAAACAAAAGCCTCTGACGATCATATTATTATTATTATTATCTTATACTCCGGTGCGTCTTATGCTCTGAAAAATACGGTATGAAGGTCAGAAACAGGAGGATTTGGGCAACGAGTTACGTTTTCCGTTGTAACTGCGAGGGGTTGTTAAATGAGGCAAAGACTGTCCCAAGCGGACTTTGATTCTGCAAACCGACCCGCCAGCTCTGCTTTTGCCACCTCGACTCTCACACCAAAGGGAGACGGATGCAGCTGAGAGAAGCCAGGGGGGAAAAAAAAAAGCTGGAAGTTGCCAGCCTTACCTGTTGAACCTGCAGGGGCGGCATCTGCGGGGGCTGCTGATAAAAGAGAGCCGTGGCCGCCGCCGGCTGCTGCTTGAGGAAGAGCTGATGCTGCGGCGTGGCCTGGGCTGAAGGGAGCTGGGCTTGTGCGGTGGCCGCGGCAGCCACCGGCTGGGCAGCGCCAGCGGGCTTGGGCTGAGTCGGTTGAGGCAGAGAGTTTGGCTGAGGCATCGCTGCAGGAAGGGGAGGCTGGCTGGCCGCCAACGGAGCTGGAGCTACAAGCAGAGAGCAGGACAGGTAAAAAGTTAAATGCAGCACAGGTGAGGCACTTCCTTTATGCTCACCTAGCATGTCTGGGAGCAACTGTAAAAAAAACCAGACTAAGAAGGGAAGGAATGTAAATGAGTGGGGCCAGGACCACTCTCACCCCACCCCTCTCACCTGGGGACCCTTCAGGACTCAGAGGTCCACCTGGATGACTTCATCTTCCTTTTAACGACCCCAAAATCCCTTGCAATGGGGTGGAGTCTGGGCAACTGAATGGAGCTAGCAGAGTGTTTTAATGGCCGGAGGCCCTTCCTGTTCGCCAATGCGGAGTTTTGTTCAGCAGATATATTCTCATTGTGCCCAGAGAGAGAAATATCTGCCTCCACCTAGGATCGAACTCACAGCCTCCTGATTTTGAGACGAGAGCTCCACCTCTAGGGCCACCACACCACTCCATCCACCTGGATGACTTCTCAACCAGACATTCTAGCAGGAGAAGCAAATGGCGCAATGCCAACACCGCTGCCCTCGTGATGCACTTACTTTATCTACTTTGCCATTTTATGCCTGATGATTTTAATGTTTTTTTTTTATGCTGCGAGCCTCCCAGAGTCATTCGATACAAGATGGGAAGCAAATAAACTCCATAATAAATAAATACTAAACAAGGAAGGACTCTCACCTTGCGGCTGGATGCTGGCCTGGACCGCAGGTCTCTTTCTGGGAGTCAAGGCAGGTTGAATGGGTAGAATTCCTGGATTTGGTTGCGTTTGCCCAGCTTTGGGTCTCTGGCGTGGTGTGATGGATGTTTCTGTTGTCGGAATAGGATCCATCAGCCTGTCAATCACAGACATACAAAACAAGAAGTTAGAATACCGGCTGCTTCAGAGGGACATTGCGGTCAGTTGCTTTTAGTGGGCCCAAGTGTTTAGAAAATCCGTGGTCCTTCAAGGGTCTCCAAACTTGGCAATTTTAAGACTTGTGGATTTCAACTTTTACATGCAAGGAAGGGAAGGCAAAATCACTCCGAGTTGACTTGGAAACAGCTGCTGGAGTTGAGTGCAATTGTTGTGGATGCGTCTATAAAAAGGACTTTTGTCCAGATTTGGCCAGATTGCTGTAAATTGCCTTGGTTCCCTTCCAGTTCCATGAATACATCACAAAGAGCAGCTTTCGGTGGACACGGAAACAAGCTAAATCTCCCAGAAGCTGTCCTGCAATAAGGAGGCCTTCCAGGTAAACGGGAGAAGTTTCACAGGAGGGAGAAGACGGAACAGGTGAAACGATTCGCCTCCGAAAAGGACAAAGGTGGCAGTTCAAGAAAAAACATGAGCAGACCAAGGAGAGTTCGGGTCATCTAGAACAGAGGTGTCAAACTCAATTTCATTGAGGGCCGCATCATTCCTTTTTTAAAAAAACAATTTCAAACCGGGATATATTACTGGAGAACAGCTGGGTTAGTCTAGGGTGCAAAAACCAGGAGGCTAGTTAACATAATTTCTGCCTTATAAATGTTATTGAAAGGCATATATTTTTTATTATTAACTCAATCGTTAAATCAGACAGGGTTCTACTATGCAGAAATGGCAAAACGGGAATTCTGGAGACGCTTTTCACTGAAGGGAAGGGACGTCTGAAGTGAAATCCCGACCTGTCCCATTTCTTCCTTTTGGGAATAATGGGACCCTATTTTTGCACGTTCTCCTCTTCAGCAAAATCCAGTTCTTGCTCCCTCAAGCCCTCATATTAACACTTGGTCTTCCGTTAACACCCTAGTGTCCATTAGGCCGATTTGGCCACGACCATCAAGACAGACCAAAGGTGAGCTCACCTGGCTTTGGGCTGAGTTTTCTTAGCAGCAGCTTCACTAGCTTTCACGGGTTCTGGAAGTTTGGTAGGAATTGGAGAATTCTGAAAATTAAAAAAATAAATAAATCCTGTGCTCATTAAACGCTTAACAGAACAAAACAGAATAACAACGTTGGAAGGGACCTTGGAGGTCTTCTAGTCCAACCCTCTGCCCAAGATCCTACACCATTGAACGAATCAAGGAGAGAAGCAACCTAGAACTAAGGAGAAATTTCCTGACAGTGAGAACAATTAACCAGTGGAACAGAAGTTGCCTCCAGAAGTTGTGGATTCTCCAACACTGGAAGTTTTTAAGAAGAGATTGGATAACCATTTGTCTGAAATGACACAGGACCTGGGGGGTGTTGGACTAGAAGACCTCCAACTCTGTTATTCTGTTATTTCAGACAAAGGGCTGTCTGGTCTCTTCTTAAAAACCTCCAGCAATGGAGCATCCACAACTTCCGAAGGCAAGCCATGCCACTGGTTACTTGCACGCCTTCACACCACAAAAGTGATGTTAAAAGCTGAGTTAAAAAGGTAAAAGTGAAGTAAAAAAGTTAAAGAGATGTTAAAAGTTAAGCTATGAGCCTTCATGGCGCCAAGCTACCAAGAACAAGATCCATGAAAAATTTTAGAGAGATGATAAGATGGTAGATAGATACCTTTATTATTTTACAAATAGGGCGGCAAACATAGCCACTTTCCTTCTCCCTATTTTTCCCACATCAACCCTGTGAGCTGGGCTAGGCTGAGAGAAGGAGTGGCCAGAGGTCATCCAGCTGGCTTTCATGCCTAAAGCCGGACTAGAACTCACAGTCTCCTGATTTCTAGTCTGATGCCTTAACCCAGGGGTCCCCAAACTTGGCAGCTTTAAAACTTGCGGACTTCAACTCCCAGAATTCTCCAGCCAGCAGCTGAAGTCCGCAAGTCTTAAAGCTGCCAAGTTTGGGGACCTCTGCCTTAAGCACTAGGCCAAAATGGATTAATACCTTGAAGGGGGGAAGTAACAAAAAGGTATGGAATTTAAGCAAGCAAGAGAGAGTTAAGGTTGGGGGGGGGGGAAATCCTGCAATAAACTTCATAGCATCTTCTGCTCAAACCCAACCAGAGTTATGTGTTCCTACTTCTGCTTCAACCAACACACCCAGCAAAATATTCTTGAGCAGAAGAAATTCTTGAGCAGTTTGTGGCATGGAAAGCTTCAGCTAAATCTCCTTGTGGTTCCTGCTCCTCTCAAAACGCCTATTTGACCAGGAGGATGATATAAGATCTCCTGCCTTGAGAGGAGGCTGGACTAGAAGACCTCCAAGGTCCTTTCCATCCCTAAGACTCTACGTTCCTTGATAGGATGGGCCTTTTCATAAGGTCAGAGCAAGGGGCTTTGAATGACAAGGGAATGTTGTCGTTTTTATGGGCTGCGGCCTCTCGGCAAACCATCCTCTGCCTTCATCGTTCCGTGATCGTTGGGGGAAAGGCAGGCAGCCCTACAGCGAGAGAGTCGTCACTCACCTGTGCATTGGGGACGGGACATTCCCTCTTAGCAAGCTTGAATGCACAGTAAGAGACCTGGTAAATGTCAGGCCTCTTGTCAGGATCAGGTTCCAGCATGTACCCTAAGAAAGACAAGGTGTGTTAGTTGGAGACGGCAGCATCAGGGCTCAACCGGATTGCTCTACAGCAGCCTTCAACCTTGGTACGGGCAGCTAAGCAGGCTGATCAGACCCCTCCATGAGGACTTGAAGGCCTGGGGTTGTCTCTTCTCCTGGCTTCTCCTGCTCCTCTGGTTGGTGCAACCACGCAGAGGAAGCAGAAGCGTCCATTGTGAAATAAACCAAGACTTAAAATAAACCAGCCTCGTCAAATAATGGCTTCTTGAAATAAATCAAGAGCAAGCTATGTTTCAAGGGCTGTTTCAACGGACAACTTGTAAACCCAAAACAACAGAACCGGCTCCCCCTTCCAAGCGGGATACTCACTTATTAGGCAGTGCATGTCTTGGGAGTAGCGTGAGTTGTCAGGAATGGTGAAGTTGCCGTCGCAAATCGCCACTTGGCTCTCCCCAAAGGGCAGAGTGAAGTAGCAGAGTTTGTAGAGCAAACAGCCCAGGGCCTGAAAGGAAGAGATTAGCCAATCTTCAGAGTCTCATAGAAGCAGCCGCTGCTCATCCCCACCACTACACAAGAGCTCCCCGCCTTTCACTCTTTTTGCAGTATTGTGATCTGCCTCATTGATGTGGCCACCCTATACCTGCGACCAGGAAAAAAGCATTTTCCTCCAAATAGAGGAATTATGGGGTTCTGCAAGTCGTTATTCTTCCAGGTTTCAGCCTAAAAGGCTCTTCGTCATCCCTGGAAGGTGAATTAAGGAACTGAGTAGTCCAAGTTATGACATGTAACTTTGGTGTTCTACCTGAAGGCCAAATACCTGCAGTTTCTGAATCACAAGATGCCCTGTAACAGGAGTCTCCAACCTTGGCAACTTTAAGACTTGTGGACTTCAGCTCCCAGAATTCCTCAGCCAGGGAGTTGAAGTCCACAAGTCTCAAAGTTGCCAAGGTTGGAGACCCCTCCCCTATAGGAAAGAGGTCATCAGCCACCTAGTCGGGGAGGATGTAAGTAGCCCTGTGAAGCATCTGCATCAAGTGACAATAACAAGGAGAACATCCATCCATCCCTTCATCCCAGATACAAGGACTGTGACACTAGAGCCTGCTTTTCCAAGTGAAACCGAGCAATGATCATTTAATCTACATGCAAAAGAAGAGGAACAAATCTACTATTCCTTGCATATAGACGCTTGGAAGCCAAAGACAAACAACAAACCTTGAAACTTGGGTTTTCATTCAAAAAAAAATGAAACCCAGAGAAACAAGCCTAAGGCAACTCTCTAGATGTGGAAAATGAAGAACACAAAAAGTAGATTGCAAAGATCAGAAAGAAAAGATCAAAGAAAGGGGGGAAACCTCATTTCTTTAAAGATTTTGCCTTGTTTTGATTCTCAAAAGGAATTTTTTTCCAAAAGACAACTGGAGTTTGTTGGGGTTTTTTTCTTTGAATACATTTTGCTTCTCGTTCAAGAAGCTTCTTCAGAAAATGAGTTCTTTATTGGCCAAGTGTGGTTGGACACACAAGAAATTTGTCTCCAGTGCGATTCAAGGTGTTGGTTACCACCTTTAAAGCACTCCATGGCATAGGACCCGGGTACCTCCGAGACCGTCTTCTGCCACCAATAGCCTCCCACTGACCAGTTCGCTCCCACAGAGAGGGTCTCCTCCGGGTGCCATCGGCCAAGTTATGTCGGCTGGCAACACCCAGGGGGAGGGCCTTCTCTGTGGGAGCCCCCGCCCTGTGGAATGAACTGCCCCCGGAAATACGTAAGATCTCCGACCTCCGGGGGTTTCGCTGCGCACTGAAGACCCTGTTGTTCCGCCAGGCCGGACTATCAACATAATAGTTTTAAATTGGGGTATTTAAATTTTTTGGGGTTTTAAATCTGAGCCAAATTTATTTAGTTATTTCAAATTTTAATTGTTGTTTTGTCTGTGTTTTTAAATAGGCTGTACACCGCCCTGAGTCCTTCGGGAGAAGGGCGGTATAGAAATAAAATTATTATTATTATTATAAGCTCTCGGTATACATGCAAACAACAAAGTGACAGTTTAAAATACAACTAGTAGGGGCTCAGTATGTCATATGGTTCACTGGGTGTGATCTCGAACGCAGTAAACATTAAACTTGGTTTGGCAGGTCATGCGAGTAGCCTCCGAGCAGCCATCCCTATTTGATGTAATTTACAAGCCACCCTCTCAAAGGGCTTTAGTCCACAGGCATCTAGCAGGAGAATGATGCCATGAGTTTTATGGGTCAATTCACAAGCTGATAAGAATTAAACAGACACTTTTGCACATTGACACTTGCCGGCTCATCTAACAGCTCATCCAAACCCAGATTAATTAGTCGCTTATAATTAATCTCCTTACTTCTCCTGGAAAATGAGACTGGGAAGGAGCAACCTGCAAAAAACAACAACAGTTCTTCCTGCCCTGGGCTTCCTTGCCATTTGCCCTCCACTCCTTATTTTAAAACCTCTCCCTTACTTGTTCACAGAAAAACTGTAAGAAATAAATCACCCAAGCCTAATACCTAGAAGAGGAGTTGGTTTTAAGTGGGTTTTAAGAGTTTAGTTGCTGAAATTCTTGTAACAGGGTCGCATTAATCAATCTTGCTAAAGAAGACCGTGCAAACTTGGGAAAAAGGATTTACTTCTGGTTTGAGTCAACTGCCCCAAAGCTTGTTATGTGTGTCATATCATCACGACTAGAATGTGAAGTATGTAATACGCATGTCAGTCAGTATGCATAATATGCATCATTTGCATAATGATGTGGTAAGGCGTGTGATGTTACTTCCCGTGCCTTGTTCCCTTCTAAGGCTTCTCAGTTTTGTTCAATTTTTATTTCTACCTTCACAATGGCTATGTATGGCTGTGGAAGTTGGACCATAAGGAAGGCTGAGAAGGCCAAAGAATGGAAGCCTTTGAACTCTGGTGCTGGAGAAGACTCCTGTGAGTCCCTTGGACTGCAAGGCGATCCAACCGGTCAGTCCTAGAGGAGATCAACCCTGACTGCTCTTTAGAAGGCCAGATCCTGAAGAGGAAACTCAAATACTTTGGCCACCTAATGAGAAGGAAGGACTCACTGGAGAAGAGCCTAATGCTGGGAAAGACTGAGGGCAAAAGAAAGACAACAGAGAACGAGGTGGCTGGATGGAGTCACTGAAGTAGTTGGCATGAGCTTAAATGGAGTCCAGAGGATGGTAGAAGGCCTGGAGGAACATGGTCCATGGGGTCACGATGGGTTGGACATGACTTCACAACTAACAACAACCACCTTCACAATATTATCAGATTCTGAGCAACATTCAGGCCTGAACGATATAAAGACAGACTGCAGTCGAGAATGACATGCTATAAAATATTAACACCAACTCTCTCCATAAAACACTTCAATAAAGCACACCACTAAATATGCCTCATTATATCATTATATATATATAGCCTGGCCATAACAGTCTTGCCTGATTTTGTGATCCCAAAATGACATGTGCTTATCTACGCCAGAAAAGGAAGAGACTCCCTTGGCCCACCATCCCAAGGCAACATACCCAGATATCCGCTTTTGTGGTGATCAGTTTGCCACTGTAGAGGTTGACCATCTCTGGAGCTCTGTACGAGAGGGTGGTATACCTACAACAAAGCCCAAATTTGTGTTTTTGCAATCAAAGAGTAAGCTACAACACTCTGAGCAACCTCATGGAGTTCTGCCCTCCCGTAAAGACAATCAGGATTTTCTGTTCCTTGAACAACCTTTAAAGTTAATATTTGAAATGGCTCAGCAGGTTCAAAAGTAAACAGTTTCAAGGAGACCGTTTCTCCCGCCAGAAAAGGAGACTACTGCATTTTGGATAGTCAAAACAACCCATAATAGATTCCTAGAAATAGTAACTGTTCCCTCCTAGTCTTGAGATAAAATGTCAGGTTTATGTAATTACTGGTGCCAAAATAAAAAGCAGGCTGTTTGGGATTATTTGAACCTGAAAGATATAATAATGGCCTCCAACATAAGCACAATTATTAAAATTCTAGGACTCTGTCAATATCTTTATTCCAATTTCATATTCATTTTATATGCATGCTAGAAATTCCACCAGCAATAAAGAGCAAAGGATCATTTTCAGGATCTCTTATTCAGCGTGGGAATAATTATTCATTTTAAACTTCTGCCATGTGGCCATCCAGTAATCTTTCAAATGTTCCATCAGATAAACTCAGCAGTTCCTAGCCTAGAATAACAGAAGGGACCATGGAGATCTTCTAGTCCAACCCCCAAACAGGAGATCCTATACCGTTTTGAACAAAAGGTTATCCAACCTCTTCTTAAAAGCCTCCAGAGATGGAGCATCCACAACTTCCGAAGGGAAGCCGTTCCAATGATTAATTGTTCTCACTGTCAGGAAATTTCTCCTTAGTTGGATCTCTCCTTGATTAGTTTCTCGTCTAATTCTCAAAGCATTCAAATATTCTCATTTTGCTGTAGTTTTTTCAAAGTTCCTCAAAAGGTAGAAATATTTGCTTTTTCTGGAATGTCTGATGTCACCATTGGCCCTTCATTTCTATATCTTGCTGCTGAATCCTCAGCTCTTTTTTTTTCCTGATTAAGGGTTACTTAAAATCTTAAACCTTTGGGATATTATAGTTGGTACTCACAGTTTACACAACTGGGGATTTGGGATTCGTATGGATGTTGGGTGGATCAACGCGGCTATGAAACACCCAAGATAAATGGTGGCATTATTTTGAATCTGTTAGATGTACAATGTTTTAGGTACAAAAAGTCTTTTTTTACAAAAAAAAAAAAAAACCTTGAAAACAGGTAGACTCACTTCTTAATTTCTTCCTCCACTACGTTCACGCCCTCCAACTGAGGATTCTGAGATTTATTGGTGGCGCTCCCAAAGTCACAGAGGACATAATGGCCACGATCGTGTAACAGGACATTCTCCACCTGGAAACAAAACAGGCAGGTAACTGTGATAAGCTCAGGGCAAACAGGTGGGCAGTGGGATTTTTGTTTTGTTTTTTTTGGATAATGGATAACTTCTGGAGCGCACACTGCCCATAACCAGGTATTTCCACGAGACAAACTTTTCAAGCCAAACCAGTTCCTGAGATACTCCAGGGGTTTCCTACCTGAGCTCAAACAGGTAGATGCTGTTGGCCCAGAGCTATGCTTGTAATTATTGGTGGCCCTTTTATTCTGTTTCTGGCCTCTTTTAATTGCCAAGAGTCATTCCTATGGAATATTACTCAGTGTTCTATACCAGATGGGCAGCTACATAAATGTAATAAGGCAAGAGATCTGACCTCTCTAGTTTTAGAGGTGGCGCAGTGGTTAGAGTGCTGTACTGCAGCTACTTCAGCTGACTGCTAGTTCAGCAGATCAGCGGATCAAATCTCACTGGCTCAAGGTTGATTCAGCCTTCCATCCTTCTGAGGTGGGTAAAATGAGGATATGCTATTTAGTATACTGTCTTTGGTGTAAGCCGCCCAGAGTCCTCAGAGAGTGGGCGGCATAGAAATATGATTAATAAATAATAAATAAATAAATAAATATTTCAGAGTTTTTTACTCCCTGGAGGGGAAGCAGGGAGTCACTGGGGTGAAATAGCAGCTTTGCAACCAATCTACAAATTCATATTCTCAGTCATTCAGGACATGGTTGTCCCAAAGGAGCTTTTTCAAGAAGCAACTAGAATTTCTTGGTTTTCTTTGAAGATGTTTCGCTTCTCATCCAAGAAGCTTCTTCAGCTCTGTATGTCTGTATAACTAAATGCTTTAAAGCAGGGGTCTCCAACCTTGGCAACTTGAAGCCTGGAGGACTTCAACTCTCAGAATGCTCCAGCCAGCAAAGCAAAGCTGGCTGGGGAATCCTGGGAGTTGAAGTCCTCCAGGCTTCAAGTTGCCAAGGTTGGAGACCCCTGCTTTAAAAAGTGTCATAATCTACCACTCCTGCCATCCCTTGTGTAATCCTCTTGCTCTCTGGAAGAGATCCTTAAAGCTCACCCAGGTGGAAAGGCAGGAACAGATATTGTGCCTTTCCCCAACCTCCCCAGGCCTTTGTACAAGACCCGCAATTGCTACCTTCAGATCCCTGTGGACGATCGGGGATTTGAACTGGTGCAGCCTGGCCACCGCTTCACAAGTGTCGCAAAAGATCTGCAGGACTTCGTTTTCCGTGAATCCCGTCTGCAAGCGCTGGTTCATCAAATTCACCACTTGGCCTCCTGGAGGAGAGGAAGGAAGAGAAGGAAGGCCAGAGCCATCAGGCGGATCCATACACACGGATTTGAAACCCAGGTTCAACAAGATGATTCCCGCGTTCACTCGACCCAGAAACAAGCCACCTTATTATGCTGGACTGTTGAGGGCCTGGCTTGAACAAAGTCACCGGACAGAACAGAGGAGGGACTCCACAAAACCTTCAGCTGCCCCAGCCTCATTTTAGCTTAAGTTGGCATGTTGTGCAAAGCTGGCCATGCACAGGTACAGTATATGTGGTACCTTGCTCATTAGTAGTAACTGTGAGAGAGATCTTGGAGTCCTAGTGGACAGCTGCCAAAAAAGCCAACACAGTTCTGGGCTACATAAACAGAGGGATAGAATCAAGAACACGTGAAGTGTTAATACCACTTTATAAGGCCTTGGTAAGGCCACACTTAGAATCCTGCATCCAGTTTTGGTCGCCACAATGTAAAAAAGATGTGGAGACTCTGGAAAGAGTGCAGAGAAGAGCAACGAAGATGATTAGGGGACTGAAGGCTAAAACATAGGAAGAATGGTTGCAGGAACTGGGTATGTCTAATTTGATGAAAAGAAGGACATGGGGAGACATGAGAGCATCTTCCAATATCTCAGGGGTTGCCACAAAGAAGAGGGAGTCAAACTATTCTCCAAAGCACCTGAGGGTAGAACAAGAAGCAATGGGTGCAAACTAATCAAGGAGAGAAGCAACTTAGAACTAAGGAGAAATTTCCTGGCAGTTAGAACAATTAATCAGTGGAACAACTTGCCTCCAGAAGTTGTGAATGCTCCAACACTGGAAGTTTTTAAGAAGATGTTGGATAACCATTTATCTGAAGTGGTGTAGGGTTTCCTGTCTAAGCAGGGGGTTGGACTAGAAGACCTCCAAGGTCCCTTCTAACTGTAGAATAACATCCTATTCTAACTCTCCCAAGGCATCAGGACACCAAGGGACTGGGGGTGGGGGGAAGTGACAAGCTAAAATGTCCACCTTGCTCAAAGCTCCGTCTTTATACGGGCTGCCTGCAGGCTGTTTCTGAGCCAGACGGAGAGGAGACGAGAGGCCCAATTGCACATCGTTGGCGTGCACACTAAAGGCCCTCGGATCCATGGCGAGAAGGACGCACATCGCTATTTCTGGCAAAGAGGGAGGTGAAGCCTTTAAGAGGAGTGATTGATTCTCTGTTCCTTCTCCATCAATTCAGACTTCTAAAGAAGGAAAGCTGGTATTGATGGGAGCTGATGCAGAGATAAGTAAAACTGCTGTCAAGAGACTGCCAAGTGGCTCTTCGCTAAAGGAGGCCAATTCCTGGATCTTTCCCCATTTCTCCTCTAAGCAGACCAGCGGATGACTCCCAGAGGCAAGAGGAGAACGGTTCCCAAACGTTGCCCTCAAGTTCTCCCCTCCAAATTCTATAGAAACGCAAACGACCTGGATGGCTTCTCCATACTGATCTCTAAGAAGCTGGGAAAACTCCCCTGCAAGGACCCCCCAACCCCTTTCGTGCAAGATAAAAGAAAGCAGCAGCCACTTCATTATCCAAAAATGTTTGCAGGTCTGAAGATTTGGGGTTAGAAATTCACGGCTGCCTCCCGAAACCAGGTTCCATCTAGTGTTGGCAGGGTGGCTGCAAGTTCTTGACTGCAAAGGCATGAAAATTTAGGGACTATTCCTTTGTCCTTTGTGGGGTGGGGCAGGCTAGAGAGCTTGCTTCTGAAAGTGGATAGGACTGGAACCAGAACTCGGTGCATCCCCATTAAATGTATTTTGGATGCATTTACTAAATAGTTACTTTCGTCACATTAACAATGACAATTTCAGCAACTCTGCTTGGAGGAGATCTGTAGCTGCACTCCAGTGCTGTGGGGCAAAAAGAAAAAAGAAAAAAAAAACCTGGAGCCACATCTCCCTGAGCATTCTAGGGCCAGCAACTGTTCTCCATCTCTGTTTTTGAAAGAAGCACAAAGGCTTTTGCAGAGCCGAGAATCATAAGACTGTGGCAGGATGTAAATTCAATAAATAATAAATAGCAATTAGCAATGCTTCTCCTTCAAGAGGGACTTTTATAAGCCACCCACCCCATCAAATTATTTGTGGTTTGTATATGGCTGCCTGCCTGTTCAAGTAGGTTGCATACATTGTCAAAGAGAAGAAATGTATTTATCACCTTCACTGTTATCTTTGTGTTCTGCTTTTCTGTTCTTTCTTTTTTGCTATTAATTAAAAAACAATAACAACAATAGTGCTTTCACAATGAGGAGTTGTGGAGCCTAGTTTAGCTCAACAGACAGAAGCACTGTAATTTAACACCAGCTGTCTGCAATTAAAGTAAGATCGAATCTCCCCAGGCTCAAGGTTGACTCAGCCTTCCATCCTTTCTAAGGTAGGTAAATTGAGGACCCAGTTTGTGGGTGCAATAAGCTGACTTTGTATAAATATAAAAAAGTATGAAGGTTATTGCTTAACGCACTGTAAGCCGCCCTGAGTCTCCGGAGAAGGGCAGCATATAAATCAAATTTAAAAAAAAAAAATGCTTTACAGCCCTCTCTAAGCACTTTACAGTGTTAGCATGTTGCCCCCAAGCAAACTGGGTCCTCATTTTACAGACCTCAGAAGGATGGAAGGCCAAGTCGATCTTAAATATGTCAGGATCGAACTCCTGGCAGTGGGCAGAATCAGCCAGCAATACTGCACTCTAACCACTGCACCACCACGGCTCAATAAATAAATGAACTATGTTCTATAAATACAATTAATGTAAAATGTTAAGGTTTCAATGTTCCCTTTTTGCTATTTTTCCGATTTGCCTGGAGTCAATAACCCAACTACCCCGGTTAAAGGAAATGTGGCACTGAAAGAATAATTTTCTGCTTCAAAGAGAAGCAACTGTTTGAAAATGGTTTTCACCACTTTCCCACTTTCTGCAAAATAGGAAAGATAATTGATGGGAGATTTTTGTGATTAATTTGCACCAAAACAATAAAAACTGCACTGATTCGATTTCAGCTTAAGCCGAGAAGTGGCAGTCCCAAGTCAGTCCTACAATTTAGCCAAAAGTCTGGTTCTCTTGGGAAAAGTTAAGAACTTTGCAGAATTCAAGAAGTAGTAGATGGCTTGGAAATGTGGCTGAATGTTTACATACCTCGGCAAAAATCCATCAAGATTAGGACTTCCCAGACATCTCCGCTGCTCACCGAGTTGATTGTGGAGTCAATGTAGCCGACAATATTCTTGTGTCCCACAAGATCCCTCTGGAAAAGAACAAAAGGCACACCTTGACTGTAAACCTCAGCATAAACAAACCTACATGCAAGGCTACTAATTTCCTAATTCAGAGGTCTTCAAACTTGGCAGCTTTAAGACTTGTGGACTTCAACTCCCAGAATTCTCCAGCTGGAGAATTCTGGGAGTTGAAGTCCACAAGTCTTAAAGCTGCCAAGTTTGAGGACCCCTGTCCTAATTGAACAAAGAAAATTCCTGGTGTTTTTTTTTCCCTCTTTTACCAGCCTGCTTGCTGGTTGTTCCTTGACCCTTAGCCTTACATCTGATCTCCATGGCCCAGTTCCAAGTTGCTGAGTTTAAACAAGTCGCTCCTTCAAGGTTTAAAAGATCAACTAGTATTGCAGAACTTCTCTCATTAACCGCTGTTTTTTCCCTGCTCCGTCTCTTAAAAATGCTTATCGTCCCATGTAAACATACCATAAGGCGTGGATCACGAGGGCTCCACATACTTACCATAATCTGGATTTCCCGTTTGCAAACTTGTAAATCGTATTCGTTGTTCACGTACATTCGTTTGAGGGCACATTTCATCCCATTGCTAGTCCTCACCAGAAATACGATAGCGAAGCCACCTGCAAAGGCAAGAGAGAACACAGCTCAGCTAGTATAATAATCTGACTATGGACTTACCTGGCCCAGAGTGAGGAGCCACATGAATTGGGATGGGAATAGCGGAGCAACCCCTGTTTAGATGTCTACCCTGTCTACCTGTTTAGCTGTCTACCCTGCTGGAAGATCCAGCTTCTCAGGGTCTCCCATTCTGGAACAGAATCCAGTTGATCACTACATAGGAATTCCCTTTTAGTTTGGGAACAGATGCCTGAATTATCTTTTTTCCCCCCTGCTTTCCTTTCCATTCCCTTCATCATTTTTTTCAGGCTACAGACTGTTCACTGATTGTACGCAACTGCCCTGCATGCCATTTTCAACAGCAAAATTCAAATAGTTTAGAGGTACATCTTCACATGTGTTTTGAATCAAACGAATGTGAAAATGAGTACGGTATGAATTCAAGCAGTTTAAACCAATTTTTAAACAGATCTAATGTTTCCAAAACGGCAAGAGCAAAAAAAGGGAATTTGTGCATAGTTTTCTCACACATGAAGAGTACATTGGCATCTCCCTCCTTCTCTAAAATAGCTACCATGATATTCTGACAGCCATTACAGCTTATATATTGTGATACCCCACTCACTCACACGCGCATGTAATGATGATTTGGTGAGTTTATTAATATTCTCCAGCAATTCCCTTCCTCAAAAATCCAGAACTGTCCCAATTAAATCCAGCCAAAAGCAGAACAATGCTAGTCCACAAAGCAATAGCCAATGCTACAAGGCCCTTGAGAGTTTCCCAAACAAGATAAATCCACCAGGTAAAATTAAATCCACAATACAAGAGGGTTCACGAGCCCAGAAAAATCCAGAATTCACAAAGCATGGGCCAAAGCAAGGCAGGAATCGCAACAACCAGGAAACATGCAGCTAGGAAATGAATATTTTGTTCCCCACATTGTCTCCATCTGTCTGCTGTGCTGTGCTTCTGGTGCAGCCATTCAAGAGGACTGAGGCTGCCTCCTCGCGTGTAATCGGGCTGACCTTCGTTGCTCCTGCCTTTTCTCTTCCCTACATGTTCTTGGATCAGGTGCAGAAGGCAGTTCCCCTTCCTCTTCCTTGACCGGCTTCCCCACCTGAAGGCTCAGGGCTCTCATCCAAATCCATCTCAGCCAGCAGTTTCTCTCCCATCAACCACTCCCCCTCACTTGGACTCGCAACCCCTGCCTCACAGCCATTGACAAGCTCCCCTCCGGACATGCCTGGGGCTGGTTCCTCCTCCTCCTCTGAACCGACATCTGGGGAAGCATCTGGAGAAGTGCATTGCATGTATCTGCTTAAAGCCTTTTTTCCAGAGATGCAAACAAGCAAGGAAGCACCGCTATCCAAGGGGGCAAGTTTGAAAAATCAAAGACGAGAACATATTCACAGGAACAGGCTGTTATGCAAAACAAGAGTTGTTCCACAGTGTTTTCTTGCTCCATTAATTTGCATTCGGCAGGGATGCTTGGAATTAAGAGAGAGGATCAAAGCCACAAAAAGACAACATTCCCCCAGTTTCAGAGTCAGTTTCATGTCTGTGACTCACGAGTTGCAATTATGAATCTGCCCTTTCAACGTAGATTCAAATACAGCACAAGAACCTCCCCGAGAGAGCCTGGACTTCCAAAAATAGCGCCCAGGGCTTAATTGGATGGCAGCACCTTGGATCCACTGCCCAATTCCACTAAAGAAGCCACAGTCCTTGGAGCCAAACCACAATCAATGTTCCCACCGGGCACCGTTTTACCACATTCTACCCTGCAAAGGGTCAATGGGTGGCTCAAGGCCTCTTTTCCGCTGGAGAAGAGGAGGAAGCTTTCTTGAAACTACCCAGAAACCCACAAAATGGGCCGAAATCACAACACTGACATTTCAGGCCCACACTCTCAGGGTGTGGAGGCCCCCACGCAACCCAGAATAAACCACCTTCCATTCAGCACTTTTGCAATAAGATTTCAGATGGAAAAAATTGCTGCGGTAAGAGAGAGAGAGGGAGGAGAGAGAGAAAGAGAGAGAGAGAGAGACAGAGATTTAATTTTCACAATTGGATTATCTGTGGGTGGCACATTTTTCATGGTACTTTTGTTAAAAATTTGAGGGTTTGCTCACCTGTGCATAAACATATATGCAAGTATGTTTGGGATATACCGCCCTTTAAAAAAAGGCCTGGTGAGAAGGTGCCTCTCCATGCTTGTTCAGCACATGTCTGGATTAGCCTATCAATCTTGCCCTCTCCCAAATATGAAAAACCATTCTTCTAACCAGAAACTAGCCAACATTGTTCCCTCACTAGCTTACAGTGATCATACCCAGATTTATTCACTCCAGAAGAAGAAAAGGAAGCTTCAAAATCATGTAAGTTTACTACCAACTCAAACCTGTAGCCTGCATTCAACAAGGCACTCTCTGCATTTCTCTGTTTTCCAAGAAATACAGGACAAAGCAAAAACAAGATAAATTTACACTCTTAACTTACTTTCAGATGGAAAGGAGTATTAATATAAATAAATGTAAACACCCTTTCCTGAAAATAAAGATGATTCCAAATTTTGAAACCCTTCCCAAATGAATAATGTACAGGAAAAGAATTAACACAAAAAAGTATTGTCAGGTTTCGATGTCATCTCAAATAAATTGCACTCCCAAACAATTAATCTTTGCTGAAATATTCCATTTATTGAGTACGACAGATCTGGCCCCGACTTCATCGTAGCCAATGCTAACCCTCTGACCCCCAAACCCTTCCCTTTCCGTTCCCCAATTCTCATCTTCTCATTGGCCATCTTCCAAGTCAGTCTCCCCAGCTTCTGACCTCAGCCCACAGGAATGTCTCCCCTCCCATCCCATCTCCTAGGGGATATTATCTACAGAGAAAGTAAGTAGATGAAAAGTCAAGCCTCATCTCCTCCTTTTTATGGCAGCATCAGAATGCTGACAAGTATATTATCAGGAGAAATATATAAGACAAGGACACGAACTTTTGACTAAATGTTGATTTATCTTTCTTTTATTTTCTTTATTGCAATTACTGTACAGTCTATATTCTCACTATTGTCCAATGGACCATTCTCTCCATTTTCACTGCCTTTCAATATTCTTAAACTCTTCTTGGAGCGCAAGCAAATCATCTTCAGTTTTATTCGTGAGGTTTCCTCCAATGCCACTCCACAAATGAGTGGATGGGCAGAAGCGGCTGAGGCAGGAACCAACCAGTCCCAATCCAATCGCCACCGTTGTAGAAATGCCAAGCAGATGCTCCAACTCTCAAAGCCAAGGAAGGGACCGGCCCAGCGACCACTGACGCGGACTTGAGAAAGGCCTAGAATAGTGATGGCGAACCTTTTCGGCACCGAGTGCACAAACTGGAACACACATGCACGTATATGCATGTGTGTGCACCGGAGCGCCGGAAACACGAAGACCAGCTGGCTGGGGCGTGCATGCCTGTTTTATGGCCGTTTTGGCCATTTTGGGGGCTGTTTTCAGGCCATTTTTCAGGCTGACCTGAAAAGAGCCCAAAAAACCACCTGAAAATGGCCCAAAAAAGACATTTTTTTAGCCATTTTTCAAGCAGTTTTCAGGCCGTTTTCTGGTGCTCCAGTGCCCACAAAGACCAGCTGGAAACCAGACGATCAGCTGCTGATGGCGTGCGTGCCCACAACGAGGGCTCTGTATGCCACCTCTGGCACACGTGGAATAAGTTCGCCATCACAGGCCTAAAATCTCAACCCTGGAGCAAACCTACACTCAGGGTTTGATTTCTGTCTTCTGCAGTGAAACAATTGCTCTGGCTGGGTCACATCTGGGAGCTTCTGCCACAGGGGAGTTCCTGGATATCCCTCAAGCACCTGGACCACCATGCCTGCCTTCCGGAGAGATACGGGGGCTCCTGACCCCTTCAGATGCTCTCCATCCTCCCCTCTCATTATTCTTGGCAAAGCAGGAGCAGCATCTCCCCTTTCTCCATCTCTCCAGTTGCTTTCAGCCAACAGCAAGGCAGCTTCTATGTTTTCGGCAGCATCTGCCTTCCCAGCCCAGATATCCAGATGCTTGGAAAATTAAAGGCAGCCCGCCCTACCCAGCTGTGGTTTCAAAGGTGGAACATTTGTAGAACGTTCATCTTTTTTTTTTCATGTGAATTTTTTTTTTAAAAAACAAAACCTGCAGAAGAGGAGGAGGAGGAGAAACAAGTGACAATTGGGACCATGGCCAAATGAGCTGCTTCCTAGCAAGCCGAGAGATTCCGTCTGCTGGGTCATTTGGCACCTGATCACGGGATATCAGCTTATTCCTTGTTTATTCTAGCAGGGTAAGGCAGTCTGGGTGACTCACGCAACTTAAGAGATGGTGGGACGTTGCTAAGAAGCATGAGATCCAAAGGTCAACCAGCCTATCTGAAGAGGAGGAGGAGGAGGAGGAAGAGGCAACACAGAGGAATTTAGCCAAGGAGGCAGGATCTTTCCTGCCCGGCCTCTCCATCCGACTGCTCCAGAGCCACCAGACTCTTCCTCCTGGGTTTCCCTTCTGGTCAAGAGGAGGCTCAGCCATCTGCAGCTGCCACTTAAAAGGGCCTCAGAGAAGCTCTGCCTCTCTGCTTGCTTTTATTTGGTTATTGATTGTTCCTGTTGTTTTCTTCAGTTTAAAGGAAAGTATTCAAAAACAGCTTCTTTTAAAGTGCCATCAATAACCACAAAATTACTTCAGATTAGATTACAGATTAACAGAGTTGGAAGGGACCTTGCAGGTCATCTAGTCCAACCCCACCCCCGCCCAAGCAGATCTTATACCATTTGAACCAGTTGAAACCCACCAATGTGATTATTTGTATCCCATGACTATCATTAAGTGTTGTACCTTATGATTCTTGACAGATGTATCTTGTCTTTTATGTATACTGAGAGCGTATGCACCAAGACAAATTCCTTGTGTGTCCAATCACACTTGGCCAATAAAGAATTCTATTCTATTCTATTCTA